ATTACAAGCAGATTCGATCACTTATGTTGGAAAACGTTACCATATGACTTTTTGAGCCACAGAGCTTAAAAAAATAGTGAAATGTCACCAAACCATTAGATTCTTATCCCTTTTCTTATTATACTCTGTAAATCAGCATTATTTCTAACAATCTAGTTCTTTTGAATCGCTTATATTCATAAGGTTATCTTCCCATTTGCTATCTCACTAGTGCTTTGTCTTCATTACCCTACGAACGTAGGGGTATACAGTTAGTGTTCTAATACAGAAAAGGTGAGGTCTGAGCAATCCCAAAATATTCTCTGCCGATTCATGACTCAGTTCTAAACTAGAATATTTTCTGTCCTGCTTCTCACTCCTCTTCCTTTATTTCACTTTTTCAGTACCTCACCATACTCCTAAAATATTAGCCTGAATAATAGCTGTATACTTGGTTACTTTACCTAGGAGACCGTAAATTTATTATCTGAAGAATCTCAACAGGAAGATCTTTGCACATCTATGTCATCGATTCTTGTTATATGCAGACCTGGATTCACCCTGTATTGGTTGTCAACAAGCATTGGTTCGTCATATATCGCGCTGATTGTCGTATTGTACGCTACAGTCTGAAAAGTTGTCTACAATTTTAAGCAAAAAAATTTTAGCCTGCCGTGATGAGCCGATGCATTTTGTGAAATATTTACGTACCTGGACAACATTTCACAGAAAATATGTTAGCAAACTTAACATTTTGATCATGTCTGTAAACTGGCATGCCTCTCTTAACAAGTCGCTATTTGAGAATAAATTATTATTATTGATAATATTAATTTCCAAAAGCTGACAAAAACAACTCATGAAAGCAAATCGTACAATGACGATTGAAGGTTCATCAGTGTTTGCAAGATTAAGTAGATATGATTTACTCAAACTCGCATGGCCTCAGATTCTGTTTAACCTGGTACCAGCGTCTAGGTTGTACGCTCAGTAATTTCTAAGCATCCATTCATGTAGGCATGAGATTGGTCACTGATTTATATGTGTCACGGGAGCCATTTATGTTTGATCACTATTCACTCGTTTCGACCAAATGTATTTACATACTTTTTCTCATATCCGAGTGACAAAGGATCAGAGAAAATCGTGTATGAGAGAGTCTCCTGAACAAGAATATTACCTACACTCACTCTGGAACCATAGTCTCCCTGACTATTTCGGCACATAATTAACCGACAGAAGACGTTCTTCGGTAGGGATTCTATGACCATGAGCAACATTTCTGGTGACTTATGTTCCAATCACCAAGTTAAATCCCTCCGTGAAACGGGAATTAGAGACTGTGATTAGTATATATTTGTTGGTGATCTCGTGGTATCGAAATGATACTGAGATCGTGCCAACGTTAACAGACAATACTACAGTCCGTAGATGAGTAAGCTACAGGCAACGGAAAAACAGGGGAGACGGCGGGTTTTATTACAGATCAACAAAAAAAATGTACAGTAAAACCATCACTGATACAATTGGTTATAATAATAAATGTTTCTGTTACATCAGTCGCGTTCTGTTCATAAACGTATATCACTACGAAACCACGTGGAGCGCTTCCAATTATGCATATTTTTAAGCAGAACCTAAATATTTACTGTAACACATACCTAGAAGATGAACACTATTAGGTCAACCTGCCGCACGAGGTTTTCGTCTAGTTATTCTATGACTACACTTATATTGAAAGTCATACTAAATACAGCAAGGTATTTTTTAGGTGATAACTGGAACTGTTCAGAGACACTAAGGAAATAAGTGGTGTTATGCCCGATGGCGACACCATACCAGCAAGAACGGTGACCAAGGGAACCCAAACCCTAAATAACACACCGACAAAACTGCCGGTTGTTGTTAATCCCCCATTATCGGTTAACAATACAGAACAGTGGTTGGATGTGAAGAAGGTGAATGGCAACTTCACAACTCACTAGCGGCTACCACCCAATGACAGAGACGATGGAATAAATTTACTTATTTTATTTAATGTCCCAGTATCCGAAGGAGGCTTGCTGGAAAGTTGGGCTGCCTTTGAAAAAAAGCAGTAGTATAAATACTGAGCGATCCTCGGAATGTGCGATACGAGAATATGCCGCATTTTCAAAGGCCAGAATGTCTCGAAAAGGAAAGCACCTCCAATGAGGGTTACTCTAGACTCGGTGCGACTTGCTGTAGATATCCTCCTTTCATCCCAAAAGGCCATTGATAATATCGTCCTCACCGATTTGCATTAGACATGATAAACCGTGGTCGGTACGAGCAGGCCACCTTGGTAGTTTGCGGATTACCCGAACTCGCTGGCGGTAGCCTGGGCGAAGCTCACCCACAGAACTGGCCAAATCGGTTCGGACAACTTGTTTAAAAACGCAACGGCGACTGTTGCTGCAGAGGTGCACCAAATGCTGAGAAAAACTACCAAGTGCCTCTATAGCAACGTAAGAGTACTAAGGGGTAGGCTGTTAGAAATCAGGAATACGTGCTCTTAGATGGATCTGAAGACCACAATGCTAACTGAAATATGGCTATCCCCTGACATTGGAGACGACGAAATGAGCTTGCAAGGCATGACACGTCCGAAGCGATAGGGTACACCGAATAGGAGTCGGAGCGACTAAATATATAAACAGCCACCTAAAAGCCGAGAGGCTATACGATACCCGACTAACTGAGGTGACACAATCATGTTGGTTTCCACATTAATGGCTCAAAATACTTGATTGGATGGATTTACCGACCTTCCTTCGGTACTAAGGCCCAGAAAAACAAACTGACTGAGGCAATACTGTAACTGCCACTCTTGTGGTTTGATCAAATGCTCTTACCTGGAGATTTCGATACTCCATCTCTAAATCGCAACAATCAGAGTACAACTCCCACTGGTTGGTTCTAAAGACGACTTGGCACGGCCATTAGAAGCTCTAGGCTGACTGAGCACGTATGCAGTGCTACTAGATGGTAAAGAGAGAAAGTCCTCAAACCTGGATTATTTGTTAACAAATGACCAGCTCCCGGTTGAGGATGTTCATGTCCATACACCAATCGGTAGTAGTGATCACGTCACAGTCTTGTTCAACATAGTCATAAACGAAACGCTCAGGCTGGACGAAGACGAGCCCTACCTTTGCTACACTAGTGCAAATTAAACGCGTATGAGAGAGGTCCTCCTACATGCTCAATGGCCACGGGAGTGGTGGAGGTTGAGAGTAGGTGACCTCTGGCAAACGGTGAGAGACATCATCAAAAATGCTGTCGTAGACAGTGTATCTCAGTCACATCAGGGGATAAGAGAACATGGGTTAGGCGCAGCACTGAACGCTTACTACAGGTGAAGTGGAGAGTCTGGAATAAGTTGAAGGTCTCCTTGAAGGATTCTGATCGTGGTTCTTACATGGCATTGAGAAACAGATGCAATACCAAAGTTCGAAGTGATAGGAGACAATTTCAGATGAAGCTAGCTGCTAAAATACAGGCAAACCCGAAGCATCTGTTTAGGTTCATGACGAAAAGGAAACCTACGGACCAGGGATTGTGTTATCTCAAAGGACCGAATGAGGAAGACCTCACCAACCTTAAGATGGTTGAGATCTTCAACACTGACTTTACTGAGCAGTTAAACCAATCACCCACCTGTTCAGAGTACTACGCAAAGTCGGTGTCATCTGACGGCTTAGGAAATATTCGTACCACTCCTGACTTATTACTAGGGGAACTAAAATCTTTACGCCTAGGTAAGTCACCAGGTTGTGTCAATATTCGCCCCATAGTCTTGAAACAGTGTGCAGAAATCGTCTGTTCACCGATAAGTGACCTTTTCAGACATTCATTGGAGTAACATCAATCACAAGCTGAATGGAAACAAGCTACTCCCTCTCCAGTCTCCAAAGGAGGAGATAGAAAGGACCCAGCCTGAGCATTACTATCAATATTTTGGAAGATAATGGAAGGGCTGGTGGACAAACAAATGAGGGAGTACATGCATAAGAATAAAATACTCCATGAAGCTCAACACGGGTTTCAGAAAGGCAGGTCGTGTACATCTAATCTTGGTGCTATCACCCCGGAATTATTCTTAACATTACTTAAGACGTACGCGCGCCCACACCTGGAGGTTCAAAACGTCATCGCACCCCATCTACTTAAAATAAACATAAATCTGCTGAATCGAGTGCAAAAACGAGCAACCAGATGGGTGATAGGGTTGAAAAATAAACCTTACGATGATAGACTCCAGCTCTTGTGATTATTTCCACTGAGTTACAGGAGGATTAGAGGTGATCTGATTATGGCGTACATCATATTAAGCACGCCAAACCATCCCAGCGTGAGCATCTTCCTGATGCATTACCACCACTCCTTTCGAGGGAATCTTGGAAAAACAGCACATCAGAGAGTGAATACTCAGGCTCGTGTACAACTTTTCTTATTGCGAGTCGTCGCAACTTGGAATGCTCTGCCAGCCAAGATGACCACAGCCCCCTCAGTGAACAGCTTTAAGAAAAGACTTGGTAGTAACGTCCTCACATACGGATTATCACTCCCTCAGATAACTTACTGAATATATCTCGCCTATTGTCTCTTTTTCCTCTTCCTTGTTTACACTTCGGTCCTATCGCACAATCTTCACTTTCAGTTAATAAACTAAATTAACTATTTATATTACTTGGTTCTGAAACGTTCTCACTAGCATTAAAATTTTCTACTTATCATTCTCCGCATTGCAACTAACTGATCTTTGGTCTGGTAATGTGATAGCTGTTGGTATCCAGAAACCCTGTTGCCCTGAAACAAACGTTTTCAAAACAACTGCCATTTGACTAGAATTAGACAGTCAAGTGACTAGACCTTCATTCATTGGACACTACAAAACACCTGGAACCGTACCGAAAGAACAAGAATTGAGCGCAAAGAAATCAGTTGGTTTATACTAGCTCGTGAAAAAGATATTGGATGTCGGATACAAATTGGATATTGAAGTGGCCTTGGAATGATTGAGATGCGACTTTTCTGAAGTTGTGTTTTTCTTTAGAGAATGAACATTAGTGGATTTGAAATCAATCACGGGCTTCAGTTGCAATTTTGTGGGAACCCATATTGCAGTTCTATTACCCCTCTCTGTTTTGCGGGAATTGACACATTGTAGTTATTTTCAATTTGGATTTATATTTCCTTAGGTGTGCTCGCAATCGTTGCAAATCTAATTGGTATCACTTTTCTCTCGGAGAGCATGTTTGCTCTAACTGTTTCGAGTTTTTGAATACTAACAGGTAAGCTAATATGATTCTTGATCCCCTTGTCCTTTTGACTGTTCAACACCACGCAAACTCGTTTTAGGACTGTACATGTAACTGCTGAATAACTATTTTATCAAATTAAGTCGTTTCAACCTTATTTATGTCAGATCTACTATAATGGCGAAACCAACACACCAATCAGCCTGCATGAGTTAGGTACCCCTCCCACAAAATCATAAGAAATAACTACTAAACATTAAGTGTCATATAGATAATGTTTCGCCTCAATATTAAACGGTACCATCCGTACGTTTCAAAACAAAGTTTTTCTTCACTCAACATATCTACACCCACTGTTCACTCTCTTAGAACTCTCCGCTGTATTCCATTGGTGGCACAGTTGGACAACCTTGTTAGGCTTTGATGCTGTTTTGGTATTTTTCAGGATTTCATTTGACTACTTCGACACTTGTCTTTAGTAGACAAACCCGATCCATTTTCAAGTCCAGCAAATCAAAGGCACACCGCTGTCCAGTAATAACGATTACTTCATTAATGAGCATGCATTTATTAACGGTATCTTATCCCTGTGTTAAGTGGCATCATACATCGGGATCTAATTAATTCATGAGTGTGAACAACCTGTAGTTTCTTCAGTATCTATACAAGATTACTTTTTAGAACGCATCATTCATAATATTTACTTTCGCGGTATTAAAATCTTTTTCTCTTCTGAAAATCGTTTATCTTTAAGTCCAAAGCATAAATCCCAGTCGGTCAATTCCGTTTGGCGCCATCGCATGAATTCATGGCGACGGGAATGGTTAAAGAAGTCAAGCCAATTAGGTCGTCGTCGAATTCTAAACGCGGCTAACTTTTTGGCAGCACAAATGTTACCTTGGTGGTTAAAATGCGACAAATGTGGTCAATGGCGCCAGCTTCCTCCACAGACTCCTGTAGGATCTTCGAAATGCAATTACAGACCTGATAAGTTCACATGCGCGGACGTAGTAAAGGTGGGTTATATTTTAGTTGACTTGTTTTCGATAATATGTATCAACTAATCGGATCTGACAGTCATGTCAGCATCGACAGACTCATTGTCGTCAGAATCGCAGCTTATATACAGAAATCCCAGTCGTGCATTGGTTTTATTTTATCATTTTAACGCTGTTGTGAAAATAAATAATATTTTCATTACTCTAAAGTGCTTAGATACTGACTAAAATCACCTCCTTAAATATAATATGTTTCATGTTTCAAAAAATTCATATATTTCGTAAATATTACAAGTGAACGAAAAGGTAATAAATTTGTGTAGTTGTATAAGAAAATTTTTTTAAAACTAATTTCTGGTAATTTTATTTCTTTAGGGGACTAGGTATACTAATTTCGAAATATTGTAACCAGTGAAATGCTTGTCGCTTCAGCAACTTTAAATTTTTTATAAATTAATTGCATAGTTAAAAGTTGCTAGTTGTTTGAATCTTGCATTGAAATCATAACTACATCAGCTAACTATGGGCAATTACAAGTAGTCTAGATAGTTAGTAATAACGATTGAGATTGCAGCATTAGGTATGTTAATAGGGATATTGTGAACCTTTTCATTTGTGCTGTAATTCGCTTCTCATTCCCAGTAGTTGCTTAATATATTCAATTTATCCCATTTATTTAGTTGTCGGATAACCCTTGTTCCTGGCCAGTAGATCAAGTGAGTTTCATGTGTATTATGTGTATGAGCTATTTGTTTACATACAGCAGTGAAAAGTTTAAGCCTTCATTTAACATAATAATCCGACTAAATTAGTATTCACTCAAGGGATTCATGATGTTCATACTGTGAAAAGAAGTAACTTTATGCACAAAGTATTTTATTATCATTCTACTGTCGTGATAACATGATTATTATATTTATCCATAATTCTCAAAGTTGTATCATAAATATTATGTGGTTGTGTGAAAAGTTTTAAAAGCTGATTTTTATAAAACCATTCAGTAGTTTTTTCAAAAACTGAGGATGTTTTCATTGGATTTGCGACTTAGTGATGAAAGTACTCAAATTTCAAGCAGCAGGTCTTAAGTTCCAATCCCATTCAACTTACATCGATCGGTGTGACTGAGTGTTAGAAGTAGTACTCATAAGTGTGGTTTAACATCAAGTTTTTAAACCTGTACTTGGTCAGTTACATTGTCAGAAACTAGTTCCTTGTTGTGCGAACCGTGATAGTGGATGGTCGCGAACAATGGCGGGTAGCGAAAGCAAGAGCGATGAAAAATTCAGCGGCAATAGGTAACAGTAGATAACTGTCCAGACTTATCAAAGAAACTGGTATTAGAAATCTGACTGTTAGCGAGACCATCATTTTTCATTTCAGAAGATTGAATCTATAGACAGAACACTTTAGGGATCAGCTCAACCTGGCCTGCAGCCACGCCTCGGTTACCCACGATCTCCAGTCAACTTGAATGGCAAGTTGGTGTAAGTCCTCTGACTCTTAATGAAGTTGAAAGGCTATAGGAAATTTAAAGCGAGGGAGAGCAGCGGGTCTTGCTAGATTAACCGCTAAGATTTTTACGAATGATGATCGAGTTTAGACAGTGAAACTGGTTGAGATCGTGGCTGGAATCTGGGAACTGGACGTAATCCTATCTGCTTGGTCTCAATCACTGATTGTCCCAGTCTAGTAAAGACAAAAGTCCTCTTGTGACAGTCACAGAGGAATCAGGTTAACTGATATAGTGTGTAAGATATTGGTTTCAATAATACCTGGACGCCTAACTAAAGCTCGTGAAGAGCATGCTCAAGAAAGCTAGGCTGGTTTCAGACCTGGACGTGGCTGTATAGACCATATTTTCGCACTTCGTCAGGTCCTAGAACATAGACACACTTTTCGACGTACAACAATAGCTGTATTCCCTGACCTTTCGGCAGCGTTTTACTCTGTCGGTCATGAAGATCTATGGCAGTGTCCGCAGTCGAAAGGTGTAACAATAAAGTACATTAACTTTGTACAGGCTCTCCACTCGAACACTACTGGTCGAGCCGAAGCTTATTGCGAACTGTCATTGGAACTGATTACTTCAAGTGGTGTTTTTCAGGGTTATCCACTTTCTACATTTTTATTCATTTTTGTCATCGATATGCTTTTAGAAACAGCACCTGCATCGTCTGGCTTTTCAGGAGTTGAACTATTGTCGGGAGATTCGTTTGTCGACTGAGAATATGACGATGACAGATTTCTGGTTGGTGAAGATGTTGACAAAATGCAGTCTTCCGACCACCTTAAGCAACAATACAGCATGTTCGGGATGTGATTCTTTCCCTCGAAATGCAAAATGTCACTTCAGGATTGACTTGCACCGGCACTCGAACCAGTGATGATAGGGAGTGAAATAGTTGAGTGTGTTGGGCGCTTATCTTAGGAGTCTCATCAGTGTTGATGGCCTAGTTTGTGACGAAATCTCAGCACTGATGCAGAAGGCTTGACTGCCTTTGTTCGCTAACCAAAGAACGATTGTACTGCGCAGCAGTTTGTTTCATCCTCCAATACGGGTGTGAAAAATGAGTAAGAGTAGAGGATATTCGTAGAATACTAGTATTCGACCATAGGTGTCTTCGAAGCGTTGTTCGTATATTCTGGGACGACCGAGTAACCAATGCCGTTGTTAGGGAAAGAGTGCTCGGCAAGGATGGCAGACCAATAAATGAAGTAGTAAATCTTTATCAACTGAGATAGTTTGGACATGTGTTACATATGTCCAACCACCAACTGCTCCGACGACCTATGTTTTGTGGTGTAGGAGTAGGTTGGACGAAAGCTAGAGGCGCCCAAACCAAGACATGGCACAAATCCACGAAGTCACTGACAAGTGGACTGAGTCATGTTGGTAGATGTAGGCTACCTGGTTGGGGTCTGCGAGACGAAAGTCAACAATGGTTAGAGGCCCTGAACGACATGGCTGAGAATCACTTGCAATGGCGCAGGTGAATCCATTGTTCGTGTTAGCTTAGATTTCAATCTTCTGAATTCCTCATCACCTCTATCTTTCTCTTTTCCCATCTATTTGACTGGACTATGGTCCTTGAATAATATCTTCGGACAGTGGTCTTTCTGAATACTGCTCATACTTCTACTACCTCTAGTACTATTGGGTTTGAATTCACAGTTGCATCTCTGTGCTAATGTGGTGTGGTGACTTCAATTGATGTACGTACGTACAAAGTTCTACGTTAATGCTGACATGACAGAGTCGTATGGAGTGACATCTTTTCATTCTCTCTTTATTTTCCTATTGAACCTGAGTCCCGAAACCCCTAATTCTTTCTACTTTTCTATCACTGATGCTGTTACTATATCTTCTACTCTGCGGTCTATCATGAAATAATTTATTTCATTGGAAACTCAAATGGACGCACATCTGTGTTAGACTCTACGTTGTGTATGACTGACTGGCTGGTGGATGTCTTGGAAGGATTGCTTACGTGTGGTTGAACCTCTGGCTGAATAGTTTCACTGTTGGATTATAACTTTTCGCTAGGATATGTTTTATAGATACTAATTCACCTTCTACCTGAAATTGTGATGTTGATCAAACTAAATTTAGGTTTTGAAAAATACTTGTTAGACTATAAAACAACACTAGTCTATCAAGTCGTTCAGGGAGTAAAACTAATTACACTAACCATGGTAAAAACAAAGCAAAAAAGTGTATGGAATTTATATTTCATGTTCATGTTAAAATTCTCTTAGAGATGTACCTATATTAATACAGTTGGTTTTCAGCCATGCCAACTTATAATTTGTAGTAAAATGATGCTGTTACTTTTCTTACTAAGATCTATCTGGTTTCATTATTTGGAAGTATCACTTAGTGATGGTTAGACTTGATATACAACTAAAAAGTTAAATAGTTTATATTATTTTCTGTTTTAGATAAGCAGAGTGATACTTAAAGCTGTCGTCTATGCAACCATTTAGTTGTATTATTCATAACTGGCTGCACCGTATTCATTTGAGTGGTATCATTAGCTATCACATAAGATGTATGCTTCAAGACTGAATACATGAATCTATAATTGGTTGCCAAGTTATATTTGTTTGATTAATTGAATTCTGCTTGTTATACATGAAAATTCTTATTAGTTGATATGCGAAGGCTAATTAATTCTAACTATACAACAATCGTTCACCAATACCAATCTGATTTATAGTTTGTTAATCCGAGTATGCTTTCCTCCTCTTATAAACCGAATCACCTTGAATTGACGGCACATTTTGACCGACAGCAACATATCATGAGTAGTGATCTAGATAATCATCAACTCCTATTGATTCTAAATGCAAGTTTACCCTCTGGCTCAGTAGTCGATTCAAATTAAAAGCATAGCAAGTAGGTAACCATCTTGTTTTTATTCTGAACCTTCATAGATTTAATGTATGTAAATTAGTAGACTGCAATCGGAAATAGTAGTTTATGCACAACTTAACTAAAATTGCTAGAGAACAGAGCAGGAGATAAGTAGTTGATCAGCGATAATTTACAAATAATGGAATATGTATTGACTATTAATACATTAGATGAAAGCTTATAAACAGAACCATATAGCAATATCATAGACCAATTACCTAATATTTAGCGTAATTCAGTCCACTTTTTAAGTGTTCGTTCTATCAAAATCGTTACACTTAAGTCTGTAATATGTTTGACACACTCTTCTCCCCTTAAAATATCTTAGTCTGTTATTTGTGTAAATGTTTTGTTTTTATTTCTTTAAAATAAATTATCCAACAATTTACATTTTAGCGCGCAAAAATTGTCATCAATAAACCTCATGACTTTTTGGCCAGTATGCAAACACATGCCTGGTTACAAGCATCACCTGCTCTGAAAGTTTCGTCATCATATGGTGTCGACTTGGCTGGTCTGTCTCCCGATCCACTTCCAGGTTCCACTGTTGAAGATGAGAAATCAAGTTAGTATTTTAATAACAGTTTTAATGTATCTCATATTGTTGTGTTGTTGTATGCAACAATCGCCAATTTATCTAGCGTAATGTTTATCCCTTTCTCCAGCAAGAAATGAAAGTTATATGCCTGAAATCTAAATCATTAGGTAATCTAATAAACAAAAATACTGATACACTTATTTACTAAGCTGAAATTTCCTAACGTCCATCATAAGAAAACTGAACTAGAGTGCCTTCTATCCTTTTCTCCCCTGGTCACTAACGAAAAATGGAAGTCCAAGCTTGCATAGATGATTTACTGTTAAAAACTCAAGAAGAATTAATTAACATTTGAGTTCATTCAGTTTTATACCAATTACATTCGGTACTGAATTTACTTTAGGTTTTAATATGTAAATTGATGCAGTTAAGTAAATCTTTTAGTCAGTTTTTTATCCTTAAGAGTTTTCCACCTTAAAAAAAACAAGATGACAAAAATACACAATTCACCAAACAAGATACAGTATTACTCGTAAAGTCACTATTTAACTCACACATAGCCTAATCGATTCTTACCAGTTTTTCTAATTGTAAAGTATTTTCTTTACACTTCATAGCAATACTCTGTTAAGGATGGTTATATAGTAGGTATATCTTTTTGTTAATTTCGTAATTCTAAAATTTACGTATCGTATTTGTTAAGGGTAGTAGGTGGAAATGATCTGCTTATATGTTGTAAAAGAACGTAGTTTACATTTGTACTAGTTTAGCAGATGTACACTTTGTAAGAGAACTATGCCGTAGAGATAAAAAAAGTGAAACGGTTCATAACTTTGGAGCTAACAACTAGTTAATCAAATCATACAATGGTATCTATGATCATAAGTATACTATGGCGTAACTTGTTAGTTGGTGAAAGTTTACATTGTGCATAAATATTGTTTTGTAGTTAATAGTTATTGGCCTTTTTCGTATTTAGTATATTTGCCCCCTATCGTTTTTTTTCTACAATATGACAAGTATGGCTGTCATTGAATCGTTGTAACAATTTCGTTCCACTTTTGTTCCTTGTTCAGTACCTTCTGACAGTCCTTTTGATGTATTTGAGGAGGATGGGGCATTTTCTCCGATTGACTTACACGCTTGGGAAAGATTCTCATTCTCTGAAATGTCACGGTAAGTAATTAGTAGGGACTGTAAGGTTCAATATGGAATTAGTCAATTAATTTTTCTTGTTTGATCATAAGTTGTGTATACATACGTGTATGCTTACTGTAATGAGTCACGGCGACCTCCCCACTTAATGTGAGCAACCAAGTAGTAGTAAGTATATAATTACCAAACTAGAACAAGGTACTACAACAAATGGGATGTATATGGAAACTTTTATGTATAATACTTTGTACATATATATATATATATATATATATATATATATATATATATATATATCTTTATTTATGTATGTATGTACTTTTCTCAGTACGCATTCATCTATTTACTTAAACTCATACACACATATCATTGAGTTACTGTGTAGGCTAGGATTCTCCCGTGGTCCTCACAGCAAAACAGGTGGTTTTTTTCAGTAGCTACTCTCCGAGCCTTTGACCCAGAGCGCCAGTGCACAAGACAGTGAAGCTTCGTTGGCAGATACAGTCCCATGACTGCTGGTGACCAACAGTAGTTTCTTTCGTCACTTGTTTTGTAAGGATCCTGGAGCTCATGTGTACCTTTGGTTTAGGATCGCGGTTTTTCAAACCGTCCCTAGGTGGATCCTCCGTAACCACAAATGAGCTTTAAGCGCTGGATATTCGCTTTTCGTCCTCTCGATCTCGTAAACAGCACTCATGTCACAAGAAGGCAGTGTGTAGGACTTCACTGAGAGTAGCTATATATGTATGCCTATATGAGGGTATTTTGATAGAAATGGTGAACTTCCCCCACTCTCGACCGTACCGAGACAATTGTTGGCTATCATCTACAAAATATCGGAAAAATCGTTTCTTGAATTCATTTAAAAGTCAGGCGGCTTATAACTTTTTTCTATCGTTTACGCAATCACCATTACATCACGTATTAACCAATCTAAGTTACTAAACATCCCACCAAGTATGAAATAACTTTTTTTCTTATGTATCTAAACTGTAATTTAGTTCTCTTTTGATGTTTTTAATTTCGTGTTATGATGATGCCATTAAATTCAAGGGTTAAACATTTTTGGATAAGTTAACTTTCATGCCAAAATGGCAACTATCAAACAAATGTCTGATCCATGAATATACATATTAAAAGTTTATTTATCTGTTATTTCTTCTGTGTCTTATTTCTGTGTGTTCCAGTTTTCCAACTTTATATTTAGCTGTACGAAATTTAGTTCTTTGTTTGTGGTTTCGTAATCCTAAAGTGAGTTTTACGTTGAAAATGCATGTTTAATTTTGTTCTTATGAATTCCCAGTACCTTAATGTGTATTATACCGCTATGTATGAGTTTTAAGTAAATATTTTTTTCATACACTGAATACTGGAGACCTACCGTTTTCTCTTCAAACTCACTTAAGCCTAAAATATAGAACTCAATGATGGACCAAAATACCTTTACAGTGTTCGTGGTATACTGAATTGTTGATAAATCTTAAACAAAACAACATTTTTTTTAGTATTGTAAAAACGATAAACACAAGCGGAAGTCGCTGATGCTCACTGTTGATGAGTCTCACTCATACCAGGACGAAACGGTCATCCAGTGCTTCCAAGTTTCTGATGGTTGTCCAACAATGATCGATTCATGATTTCAGTGAAAATAGGAATAGTAAGTTGTATGGTGATGGTTTATGGCTTAATGAAGCGCTTGTGATAAAAGTAATGCATAAACTTGATAAGTTCGTCATATAACGATTATACAATAATATGCACAATAATAGTAATAACAATCCATAAAATTGGTTCTCTAAGTTACTACCGCTTAAATCTCCATTCGGATATAACATAAATGTTCTGCATGTTCGAATGTAATTTTCAATAAAGGTTGCATTACAATCATCTGTTGTGAATATGTCATTTTAGCGCTGCCCCAAACATGCAGAATAAAAGTTAGAACTTGAAATGAAATCTTTAGGTGTAGTTCACAAAAACAAGAAAGACTGTGTTCAAATAATCACCCTTCTGTTTTTAAGCTGGTAGGCATAAATAACAAAGATGATGGGAGATTATAGATTGAATATAATACAATTGATTCATGAGTTTGCAGAACCTAGAATTTAAACTAAAATGAGTAAATGAAGAAGCCAAGTTTAATTTTCACTCACTGATATTTATGTATTGAGTATGGAGGTAACGCACACGTGGTGTCGGGGCTACTTTAGTTTGTTATTGTTGTTAAGCTGTTGTGTATAGCTTTTCTCTAGCCATTTGTTAATGATCACCTATGGCGCAGGCGAGATATCCGTTTGCTAACCAAAAGACGAGTGTACTGTGCAGCAGTTCACTCCGTCCTACTATACGGATGCGAAACATGGCCGGTGAGAGTAAAGGATATTCGTAGATTGCTTGTCTTCAATCACAGGTGTCTCCTAAGCATTGCTCATATATCCTAGGACAACCAAGTAGGCAGTGCTATAGTTAGGAAACGAGTACTAGATAAGGATGGCAAACCGATAGATGAAGTATTGAAACTCCATCAGTTGAGGTGGTTGGGTCATGTGCTACGTATGTCCAACCACTGATTGCCTCGGCGAGCTATGTTTTGTGGTGTAGGAGTAGGTTGGAAGAAAGCTAGGGGCAGCCGAAGCGAAACATGGCAGAAATCCATGAAGTCACTGGCAAGTGGAGTAAATCATGTTGGTAGATGTAGACTACCTGGTTAGGGTCCGCGAGACGAAAGTCACCGATGGTTGGAGACTTTGGATGACATGCCTGAGAATCGTTTGCAATGGCGCAGGTGCATCCACTCTTTGTGTTCTAACCTTCTGAATTCCTCATCATCTCTATCTTTCTCTGAATTATACTTCTCAAATCATATCTTCGAACCCTAATCTTCTTCATTACTGCTAATACTTCTACTATCGCTACCATTATAGGATTTGAACTGACTAATGCCTCTCTGTTCTAATGGGCTATGGCAACCCTGAACTGATGTACTTACGTACGAAGTTCTGTTTTGTACCTGTCTGTCTGTTCATTATCATTTTCTCACCTTTTGATAAATAAACACAACTGCTTTTACTTTCCAGCGTCTAGTAACCAGTAAATTTGCAGCTAATCATTGTTTTGTTCGAGGTTTACTACGTATAGTTTTGTGTGAATATTGGATACCACATTTAATTGAAGAATTTACCTGTCGTGGTCTAATCAATGTTGGTGTTTGTCAAACCGATTCATTTGATCAAGTAAGTAGAGAATGATGATCAGGTATATTTCAGAAAAGCAAGTAATTAATGTAGTGTTAACAATAATTACTTCAACTTTCTATGATATTGTATTTCGTGTTATTTGTAACTATTTTGGTGCATGCATGATTTTGTGACAAATATATATTTTGAGTTGAATTCTATGTAGTGAATATATAATGTTTAAATTTCTCAGATAGGCTTGTTTGAATTAGTCGTAAAATAGTTATTTATTTAAAAGTGCATATATTTCAATTGAAAACAATTGACTATAAAGTGATATTAAGCATTATTAACTGTTAATTGTATGCATTGAATAATTTGATGATAACTTGCTAAACAGTAAATATCATTTTGTAAATCATAAAAATCCAAAGTCTATTTCTTTGATTCAACTCCATCGACTTGTGTTTGAGTTAAACTAAAACTCTTAGTTATTCTCTCTTTCTGTATACAGTGATTTAGTTTTAGTTTATATCGATTAGAAATTGACTACTTAGAAGTATTGAATTATGCTGAAAATCATTTTCAGATGTGGTTTTGCTGCTTGCTTTATTCTTATAACTACGTTTTATGTTGAAACGTCAAGGTTTTCGGTGCAAGTTGATAAATTTTTTTTAAATCAAATTTATAAAATGTTAAGGTTTGATTCCGGAGATTATGAACTGATCAAAACAGCTTTTCAGTAAGGGCTGTGAGGACTGCAAGAATGATGCAAAGCTTTCCTAATCACAGCAGCTTATTTTCCAAGTTATTTCTGGGTTTGAGAAAATTGTTTGTGGATAAGATTCTAGCAAAATATTTACGGTTAAGAAAATTGTATGACAAGAAGAAGCCGTACTTTTGAAAGAGCTCCAGATCTGCTTTGAGCAATAGAAATGACTATACAATGAGTATATTCTCACAGATAAAGAGTAGTTTGAAAACAATAAAATTAATCTATCCTAAATTTAAAAAAAAACAGAGTTATCATCATATCAGTATTATTTATCAGAGAGAGCAGAATTTTGCAAAATAAATTCCTTACTTCGAATTTATACAATGATAACGATATTGGTAGATGTAAATCACTTGGTTGGGATCCACTAAACAACTACGATCAGTTGCTTGATGATCTTAAATGACTTAACTGAAAGTTGTTGACTGTGGCACAGGTGCATTGACTCTTTATCTCTCTTTTCAATATTCCTTTCTGCATACTTCTCTGCCATGTCTTTGCAAAATCTATTCTCAATTGTCAGTCATAATTATTGCTAATACGTTATTTAAATCTGACATCAGTGTTTACGTTAATAATGGATAACTAATAAACAGTTATCATTATGACACTAAATTCAGTTGTAATCAGTTTAATTCATTCATATTCTGTTTAATTCTTAGATTAATGAGATTGTCACCGATGTTTCCAACAAACAGCAACAGCAACAAACGCCTTCAAAATTTCAATTACGGTTAATCGGTGATTTCGATCTGACAACTGCCGTAGCTATTCGTCAACTATGGAATGCACTTTATCTACAACAGTTACATGTTAAATCTAGTCAACAGGTTCAATCACAACAAAAGCAGATTTATTTTCCATTATCTATTAAATTAATACCTTCTCCTAGTGTTGCTGATCGATTGTCAACATTAAAACATTCATCAAATCATAATCCATTGAATAATAAACTTACAGAATTATTGATTCAATTTCCCACTTCAAATCATACTCAAAACACTACTGAAACGATGGCGACCAATGAATTCGATACAAGTATATGTGATAGTAATAATAGTCATAGTCATAATTATAATGTTGAACTGAAAAACTTAACACCAAATGTTATGGAATCGAAAAATTCCAAAAAATATCCAGTTTTATCTATCCCATCATTGGTGGTAAGTTGATCAACCTTGATGTGATTTTAATTTGGAGAGACGATTGATTTTACGTAAACACTAATCTTGTTCAATCGTTGTTTTTTGGTGATAGCTTGGTAAATGATTTACTTTCTTTATTTATTGGCTGAGACGTTCAACTTCCATCCACTGAGTTGTAGATTCGATCCTTACCCCACCCACTGCAGTTTAGTGAACCAGATAGTATCACTAAACTTTAGAAAAAAACTATGACCTAAAGCCAAGTACACAAGTATTTACGAATTGATCTTAAAAACTATACTTTAGTATAATAGCTTGTGTGTACATGTGCATCTTTGGCTTCCACAGAGTAGTCATTAACCTCAGTATTATTTCTTTCTGTAGGTTGAATTCATTCCTTCTTTAATAAATACTCTCTGAAAAGCTTATTCTTCCTCATTACCATCAGTACTACTGTCGCAGTTATTTCAATTATTCGTTATTCTCCTTTTAAATTTTATCTCGTTATGCTGACGTTGTATGATAACATCGAGTCGCCTATATTTGTCAGTCAGTCATAAACAACGTAGAATTTGGCATATTTATACGTCTTTTTAAGTGGTTGCACATGACGAGATAAAATTACCAAGATATTTTAGAGTAGTAATAACGGTATCAGTAATAGTAGGCTAGATTGTCTATAAAAGAATCACTCAAGAAGAAAACATAAATTTATTTGACTGAAAAGTGTAGGTATCTTCAGTTAAATTGTTCAACTTCATCAATCATTCATTAAGGTAGTCGCGCAGACTCTCACTAGTTAGCCTGAGTCTACCTTGTTGATTTGATTCAGTCGTCAATGGCCGCTTGGGCTGATGTCATATTTTTGTTTCACCTTCTCAAGCCTTCTTCTAACCTTCTTTTACACCAACAGGGGCGGGTGATGGTTTAGCATAGATAACAAATGTCTTAATCACCTCATGGTTCGCCATCTCTACTTAGTACTACTCTTTGTCTGCCCTTTAAATTGTTCACTCCATAGTCCCGACCCACACGAGCAATGCACACATTTGTGCCATGCTCTATATTAATTATGACTTTTGAGCAGAGCTTAAACAGCGGGGTAATTGTAACGGTAACACCATACCATTGCCTGGTTTGTAATGTACTGTTGTCACCAAATCATTCATGGTGAAGTGAAATGAGGAGTTGGGATTGGTAAATATAACAAAAGAAAATAATTCAAATGGCTCTGAGGAAATTTTCGATTATTTTTAACAATCTAAAGATCATAGGTTTGATCTTGTACGATAGTGTTGTAGTTTGGGGCACGTTGTCCTACTTCAAAGTACCAAATTAAGTTGATACAACTAACTGTCCATGTAATGATAGTTTATAATGTTATGTTCTTCCACTGTTTAGTCATTATCTCTTGGACGCTAAACTTCACTCAACTCTTCCCGAATCAGAATCGAAAAAGAATAATATGTATTCTTATTACTTGAACTACAATGATTTAGTTTACACAGTAATCTAGCATTTCTGTTCATTCACATTTCACATTAACCTTATTATTAATGATGAGAACTTGAAGGAATCTGTGATTAGTCAATGTGACTTATTGACATAGTAAGAGTTTATGTGTTCTTAGGTACACTCTTTTCACGAGTGCTTCCCAAATCAAAGTGGGTGTAGCGGGTTTCGGAATTACGATCTACTGGTTGCAGTTGAGTACGATTCACTTTCTGTCATTACTTATGTTCTTATTATCATAATTCTTACTAATTTTAGTTTAGAAAGTTAGGCGAGATTACGAACCTTGCCAGTGATTATACCCTGAATGAAAGCTCTATACAAAAAATCTGCATTTTTTTAAAATTCCAACTAAAACATTGCTAATTTGTATGTTCTTTGCATACACTAATTAGTGTAATTAGTTTACCAAGTTCATGTTTATGTGCTATTCTGTGAGCTGCTATTAGTATAGGGGCTGCTTTTATTACTCAATTGTTAAAATAGAAGTGGATAGAATGAGTTTCGAACCCATGACCTGTTGGTGGTTGAAAACCAAATACTCTAAATAATAAGCCATTACTTCATCCATTAATATATATATATATTAATGGTGATAAAATGTTGTTATATTTCTTGATGATTTGGAGACATCTCAGTCAATCTGTATGATATCATTGTTATATGTAAGCACTATTGTATTGCTTTTTCTAAGTTTTCTGTCATTTTATGTTAAATACGCACTCGTTCCATTCTTTAGAAAACATATTTACATATGATAATTGTCAATTTCAGTCTCCTGTTCAAATGGATAAAAGCAAGAATTTATCAGGCATATTTGTACCATTACATTCATGGTCAGATCGTATCTATACTTATTCACATCATCCAGTGTCGATATTTGCTTGGCAAGTAAGATCTTTTGATAATTGTAGTGCTTAATACATATATTTCATTTTAACTACGTTTGAACAATTTAATGATTATAATCTTGTGTAGATGTAGTTATGAATGTACACACAATCTCTTCAGTAATTGCATAAACTTTCATCACAAAAATTTCCGAGACTTTAATTTTTATCTCTTTCAAAGCTCTGTCAGTTTTTGACTGATGCGTCTGTTCTGTTTCCGTTTTCATTCATTATTTATAACATCTTTATGAGTTATTTAGAATCAAGTTTGATGGCTCTCGCATAGTTTCGTGTCATTTTGTTAAAATCATTGGTTTTTTAAATTTAGTTCATCACATGTACAAAAATAATAATTTGGGTACTAGAAAGCACAAGATACTGTTATGTTTTTAACGCTTGTAATTAATTTGGAGGTAGACGTCTGTACCTTGGTTGTTGCTATTTGAGCAATCTTCATAACCTCCTCACTAAAACGCTTGATTCACTTACAAAGATACGTTTTCTTAAATATATGAGCTCCACAGACAACTCTTAATACTTGGTGGATTTTTTAAAATCGATATCACGTCTTAACTTGACTGTTATTAATATTATTGAAGTCATGAATCGGTTATTATTAGACCACCATTTGAAACCTGGAAGCATTAAACAGAAATTCTCGGCGTTCTATTGCTAAGACGTGACCTGTGGAGCCCAACCCTGTTGTGTAGGCAGTAACTACCAAAGACATGGGTGAGGTTGCGTAATACCCTAGCTTCATCAAGTTTAGACATTAACACCGGTTCAGTGGTCTAGAGGTTAAGCGTTGTGACACGAGACAGAAGGTCCTCTGTTTGATCCCTGCAAGTGGAGGTCGTGGGAACTCACTGCTGAAGAGTCCCATACTAGAAAGAAACGACCTTCCAATGCTTCCAGGTTTCTCTTAGTGGTCTAGCGATGAGTGATTCATGATTTCAGTAATAAACAACAATCTTCATAGCTATATGCTGAGAAATGTTATTACTACCCCGTCAATCTACTCACATTCTAACAAGCACTGGAAATCATGGTATGGCAGCAATCTAGGAATAACCTATCTTCCACTACTATTAATTGATGCAGGGTAAACTGCTGTTTAGTACACTGATCCATTGATACCTAGATAGATAGCTTGCATACACTAAAGTCGGTTCAAGTTGGAAATCTCGAAAAGCACATTTCCTATCCGCACCAAGCTTTCATCGGTAAGGCTCCCAAATATATTCCTTGGTATGGTCTAGAGTATGGAGAGTAAACTCTTCCTCTCGAAATTATCTCACAGGGTCAGGCGTATATAGCCACTGACAGGAAAGTCTTATGCACTGCCTTCTCAGGACGAGGGTGCTGTTAACGACTTCGAGAGGACGAAAAGCGAATATCCGGTGCATATGAGCTCCAGGATCTTTATGAAACAAATGGTGATGGAACCTATCGTTGGTTACCGGCTATCATGGGACCGCATTTTCCAACTCAGCTCCACTGTCTTGTAGATTAGAGCTGTGAGTTGAAGACTCGGGGAGTAGCCGTCTAAGAAAAGCTATTTTGGTTTGGGGACCACGGATGGATTCTGGGCTACACATAAGTTAATTGATTTTGTACTTTTTTGTATTAATAATTATGTATTAAAACAATAATTATAATATTCGTCGGCCAGCAACTCTTGATTGAGTTAATAAAACTCCCATGATAAGTAATGAAATGGTGAACGTGCCCAACTGTACTATTGTGTCTATTAATATTTTATAAGATTAGAGTCTTTAAGATTTTGTGAACTAATTTTCGGTTGTTAAGATGAACAAAAAGAATCGCTGGTCGAAAGTTGCACATGTGAGGACTGCTCACATAATTTTACTTGAAGTAAGGTACCGAATAATTTGAAATAAACGATACTACTAACCAGGAGAATGAGGTCTTTTCTTGTCATAATATGATAGGCTTATAACAAAATATTAGCACAAAACGATTGGAAGAAATCAGTTCATAGGTTATTCACTCTCTAATCAATGAATGCCTGATTCATTGTGAGACTTAATTCTTGCTTATCATATCATATCATATCAACAAGGCTATAAGTTATTGCAAACCAGTCCTTGCAGTTAGTTAGGTTTAATAAACAATACTTGCCTTATTCATATTTATTATCATTTACTGCATATTTTACTATTTCTTCTGCTCTTTGTAGACTGGACTAGAACTACATCCTGTTGCAAAATGCCTACTTTTACAGTCTTCGTCAAATGGATTTGTAAATAATAGCAAAAGTAATAATAATTATGACAATTCCAGTGAGAATAATAACCTTAACAATCTGACACTCGTTCCATCGGAACAGTCTGTTCGTATAGAATTCCATGTTGAAGCTGTCTTAGACTTAGTTGCTCAACTGTATTCAAATAAAACGAACGTTGAAGTTAATCCGAAATTAGAAGAAATGGATGAAGTGGATTTTGTCAGTGATAATAATAATAATACTATACTAAGATCTCTCACCCATGGATTACTTGACAGAACTTCTTCCGTTGAAGGTAATATTTATCTATGTGTGTGTGTGTGTGTGTGTACATTATTCAGGGATGTATTTGATTGTATATACATATATATAAGGATATTTGTGTTGGTGTCCTTGACGTCACGATGATTATTGTCATCTGTTTGAACTGTTAGTGGACTGTTAATCTAACATTCGAATTATTCAACTTTTAACCACATCAGATGGAATCTGTTTGATGAATTTTCTCTTCATCTAAGCTAGTTTGGACATTTGTACCAGAGTAGTATCATTCAGCTGCTTGGTACATATGAATTTGTACTTAGAAAATGAAGTACAATGTCACTATTGGGGGGGGAGTTGTCGAAACTGTCAAATTTCCATGGTTTATATCATGGACTGTTCTTAATTCGATATAACGTGAAGACCAGAAAGTTCTAGACAGCTGTTTCATTCTAGTATATGACTCCTTGGTGGTGTGGACATTCACGACCTCACAAAGGATAGAGCCCATGACTTTCTGTCTCTCGCACACCTGACATGGTTAAACTATACTGGTAACAGCTCACCACAACTCGTAGAATTTGTTTGCTTATTTCGACTGTAACATCCTAATTTTGTCTAATTAATTATCTCCTGCTGCTCATATTTCTATTTTTAGATTGTTGGGATAAAATGGATGTAGAAGTTCGAAGGCGCCTAACTGATTTAACAGGGAATTCAGTAAGCTAACTACCAGATATTTTGTTTTTTCGTATACTAATAAAACTATTTAAAGGTATCAAATTTAATCTAAAGACTCTATTCTCTAGGCTTTTTATGTATGTGCCAATGTATGCACTAAATTGTTAACACAAAGCTTGCTCCACAGTTATTTAGAGTGTGTAGAGTAGGTTAGGTTTGTACAGAGTAAAACACTCAGTGTACATATATATGATAATGATGAGAAGTTCATTGTACTGATTATGGAATTCCTACCATCTAGTTTTATATATTTGTAGGCCTTCGATTTTACTTTTTGGAGGATGGTATCCTCATTGAAACAACAGGCAAGACTTTTTGGAAGATGTTTTATCATTCTGATAATATGACGTTCCTATCTTATAATTCGTCTACTATACCACCTTGTCGGGAGGAATGCCACAGTCAATGTTTACGTTAATATACTAAACATTCTGTACGCTGGACACTGATTCGAGGTTGAAAGCAGACCAAACCAGTAGTGACCTGGAGAAAATAAAGCCGATTCTCAGCTAATAACGATGTAGATGATATAGATGAATGGCTTCTTGCATAAAATCTCAAAGGTTTCTAATGGTTTTGGTTAACGTATAGACCTCAAAGTTTAATCTAAAATTTGGGGTTACGAGTTAGGTCAGGCTTAGAAAGTAAAATTTAACATTAACAGTTTGAAGTGTTGATAAGAAATCAGGTAGATAAACACTGCGTAACCTCATATAGATGAATACGTACCCAATTAGTTCTTTGATTTTAGACATAAAGGTGTCCTTACCAATTTATAAATCATGGTTCCTACTCTTCAGTTTTCCCATGTTGGTCAGTCCTAACAACTAAATATTATGGGCGTTTATTTTGATTTTAAAAAGACCGAAGCTTTATCCGTCATAACGTTTTGAATTTTTCGAAGAAAAACCCGATAGTCTTTATCTCAAACACGCCTGATCAGTTCACCAGTATACTTTGTTCATGAGACGCTTATTTCTTACGTCTTCCTGACCGTAGCTGCTACCTTGTCGTGGTGGTCAGACTTGCCTATCGTGATAACCCAACCGAACTATATTGGCTGGAATACGTTCCTGTAGGTTCTACCATGCCAGGCAGCTCGATTGGAGAAAGGTAAGAGTAAAAGTATTGACTTAAGATCTGAGGGCAAAGTCGAACTGCTGACTGTGGAGGGTTGTGAAGACAGTAAGGTGTTTCCCTCGGATAACCAGAATCTGCAGCAATGTTGCCCTCTCACTAGGAAGGAAGGGGTTAGAAAAGATCGACCCTAAAACTTTCACACCTCACCGATTTCCGTCTTCGGCGGTAAGGCCACTTGAGAGGAGCGGTGCTAACACGTCAGTTGACTATTTCTGGTGTGTTTTTCTCTACATTAAATATTTAAGTAGGAATTATTTTCTATGATTATCGAATTTTTTCTTATTTTCAAATTTTTATTAGATTGAACAAAGTCTAATTGAATATTTCTTAGCTTCCATTGAATATGATTTAACTGAACCATTAACTACAAATTTCACCGAATTGTCAAAATCCTCCTCCTCATTATCCTCATCATCATCTGTGCAATATTTACAATCATCAACAGCTCGTCTAGATCAATTGTCAGTGTCTCAGTTCAACGAGGCCACTGTCACTTCAACCGAGTCCAATCAACAACGATTGAATAGTTTAGATGCTAGTAATCATAATGAAAATCTCACTGCTTATGTGATTCGTACACCGTCATCACCTATAAATTGTATCAATGAATTCAATAGTTGTTTACTTCCAGGTCCTATAAATTATTTAAAGAATTGTTTAACGAAAGATATTATTGCTCATGAAATTGATAATAATAATAATAATAGTGGTTTAAATCAGCTAGTCTCAATTCTTGTCGTAGAAAATAATGATTTCAATGTAAATACAAGTAATTTATCATCAACATCATTCTTAGATGATAATAATAATAATAATAATAATAATAATAATAATAATAATAATAATAGTAATCTTTTGAATGTTGATAATTCATTGCGAATTGCTTCAACTCCATTGAAACATTCTGCCTATATTGATCATCACCACAATACTAACAACAAGAAAGCTATTTCAAATAATCTGAAAAGTATTCGTTTAAATTATACCAATGGTGGAACTGAACTTGTTGATTGGGTAGGTTATAAACAATTTTTTGTTTTCAGCTCTTTTTAAACTTTTAAATAAACATTTAGTTCATACAGTTAAGTGAGTTTGGTTAAAACATGAAACTCCACTGAATAACAACTAATCCGTAGTATGTTGCTATATTCAAATGTTGACCGAATGCTAGGTGGATGGTTTCCAACTTCATCATTTAGTATTAGGTCGTATCATATGTACTGACTGTTAAATACTCATTTATAAACTATCATTCAATGTTCATTTTGAGTTGTGCTCTAAGTAAGAGGGAGGAGTCAGATGTGGTGGTAAACGATTGAATTGGTGGCTTGAATTGGTCTTTCTATTAGAGATTTAAACTTAAATCATTCACCATTTCATATTTACAACACCATTGTTGTGCATGTCGAGGCCGTTAGATCCGCAGAACTCACTTGATAAAGGTCCTAATTTTGGATTTTATGCTTTCGCACATGGGCCGATCAGTTGACCTTGATATTGCATTTCCCACCCGGACAATCCTTGACTGGCCTTGGGACGCTCGGATTAGAGTAGCCTATCGTGTCACTGGATCATTTGTCTTCGCTCTCGCTTACCGACTATGTCACCTTTGTTTGATATTCATCAGTGAAATATATTTTTACTATGTAAGAAAAAGATTGTTTATTTCCTAAGAATCTTTTCATCTAATTGAAGCGTTGTCATTGAATACTTTCAATATGTAGCCTGTGTTAATGTGATTTATTCTTGGTAGAATTAGCTTTTGAATTAGTAGTAGTGATTACTCTGGCGATGTTGTTTGATATTAGCCCTAGACCTAAAAGATCGTATAAATAGTGCTGAGGTGTTGTAAGTAGGTTAAACGTGGTCTGTACAAGGTAAGGACGACTTCAACATCTCAGTTTTCAACGATTTTTTTAGCTCTGAAAAATTGCTAACATCTGATGGTAACACGATATCATCAGTGTTTGTTAAAGGTTCTACAACGAATGTTTTAGCATAATGAAGGTGATCATTTAAAATTCTTACTGAAGAATCACCGTTAAACCGTGTGATCATTTTATTCTATGTTGATGAAATCCTATTTGAAATTGTGGGAAAAACTTGTGGCTTTATTATATATATATATATATATATATATATATATAATATAGGTCAACCAGTTAAAAATTTATTCCCTATTCCTTATACTAGACTTCATGTTATAATATGTATTCATTGGTTTTTTTCTTAAAGGTGTTACTAATTTTGTCTCTTATCACATATCTACGTAGGTAATCGTGACAACTCCCATTGATCAAATCCGTTTACATTTTGTCTCTAAAGCTTTGGAATCAGGCATTGCATTAAATCAATCTGTCCGACATTCAAAACAAACCTACCTATCAATTTATTTACCCTTTTATCTTCGATCCATTTTGATTGATGAACACTATTCACTCAAGAATGAACCATACAGTTTAGATATAAACCGTTCAATAGACAAGAGTATTGATCAGCATCCAATCAACGCTCGTCTAATTACTGTCACATTAGTTTATCCGTCAAGCTGGTGGAGACAGTATACTAATTCTGAAAGCTTTATGGTTTCTGATTCAGGCCAAACAGATTCATCTCATGGCGATAAGTTCAGTGAATTATTCTCATTCCTTCCAGATAGTCGAGAAAATCGAGGATTTTGTCATGTTTTTCGTGATCTACGTCCAGATGTAAGTTACCAATACAACTGTGCACATCCTCGTTTCGTCAATATGTGTAGTTTGATTTTACATTGAACTTCATGGAATTATTGAAATCGATATATTCAAATGGCCACAAAATGCTTGTTTAGTTTTGTTGCTTAAAGCAAGTATATATTGCACTTCTTGATTATTTGTTAGTCTCATCTGTGTCGGTCGGTTGGGTTCCACATGATGACCTTAGTTGGTGACCTTGAATGACATGGTTTAAAGTTGCTTACAGTGGTTCTAATACATTCGTTCTTTATCTTCGTCTTTATATTAAATCCCATTATTTCTTCATACGGTTATTCCAAACTACATTTTCATTACTTAATCCTTATTACCATAGTTGCTGTATTATTTCGACCAGTTTCACTATTCTTGTTAGTTTCATATCACAATAGAGTAGTAGTGTTAGAATTTAGTCCAACCAATACTTATACTAGGCTTTACATCTATTATGATTGACTTGTACTACACTTATTGTGTTAATTTATGGCTGTAAAATATTGTCATTATAAGTAAGACTACGCAAGGATTACAAATATTTGACTTTTATATGATGAAACCATATAAGAAATACTAAAGCTAAGTGGTAGACTTCCGATAAGGTATATAAATCATCTTATAAACGTGACAGTTTCGATGAACCAGCATGAATATATTTGACTTATCTTCTAATTTAATACCGTATGCTTCGCTGAGCAATTCTACAGTCATGATGCACCATCTCATCTTGCTGCTGATTTTAGAGTTGATCCTTTTGAGAAGGTTAGTTTCTCGCAGTAGTCACGTACTTAGGGGAAGCATCTAGGATTAATTACCACTAATCACTTTTATGTGTATTCGTCAGTTTACTTTGTCTTATATGGCAGGTTATATTATCTGTACAAATCGTGTTCTTATCAAACAAATATCTGAGCACTACTCTTGCTTAGGTCACCGGCTTATGGGCCTTGATCTACCGTAGGACCTAATTCGATTCCTAGTTGGGTCCCCTGAATTTCCACTCTTGAAGAATCGCTGACTACTATGGATTAACGGTCTATAACTCTCGAGTTTTTGATGTCACTCCAATTGAAATTAATTTGAGATGAATAAAGCCCATGATTGCATTTATAATTTTTGCTCCTACTGTTATATGTTGCTGTAATTTGACTACACCTTTGTAACCTATATTTTTACTCCATCAATAATGAGTTGTTTAGTAAGTCCTATTCAACTTCGTAACTTCTTTGCAGAGACTTATGACGTTAATACAACGTAAAAATCAAAAGTCAGGTACAAATAGTGTTTAGGATACGTATATTTCAAACATTTATTTTATCAGGCAAACTGAACAAGTGAGTGTGGAAATTGATGTTTCAGCCAATATCTCTGTCTGAGTCAATTGATGTATAAACTATGGTTAGTCAATCAAACATACGCATAAGCCAAGCATATACTGAAATATCAATATCATTGATCGATTCACAGTTAACTAAGCTAAGGTGCATATGATGAAAGGTCATATATTATTCTCTAAGTTACAAATCTACCAAAAGGTTAGAAAAAGTGCACATGAACATTAAACAAAATTTTTCTTATTTCTTTTTATCATCTTAAAGATTAGCTCTCCAGGAATTTTACAAACTCAATTATTCGCAGCTGCAGCCGACCATTGGTGGGAGAAAACAGATATTCTTTTACAAACTGCTGTAGATCGATATTTGAAGACACATTTCATGATAGCATCAAGTGAAGAATGTCAATTCTCTGACCGGTTTCATTTATTATCCTCATATATTGCTCGTTTACAAGCGCCCAGTATAAACACTCCCATGAATTGTGTTTGTATTGTGAATAATAATAATACTGATGATGTTGATGATGATGAAGCATATGAGGAACAGTGGCTTCGTGTGAAACAATCTGGTTGGATGGAACTTGTCAGACATACTGGAATATTTATTGTGAATTTAATGCAGAATCACCATTGTCTAGATTATGATAGTCGAAAGGAAAACTATTTACATATCAATCATCATCATCATACACATTGTTTAACTCCATCAGAAATGATTTACATGTCAAATCCAGTAAGTAGTTATGAAGTTGTTTGGTTTTTTTGTTGTTGAGTATTTTTATTTCGGCATATGTCCTGTTCAGTTGATTGAATTTATAATGTGTGGAAAACAGCTGTTGATACAAGTTATCAACCGACTATACATTTCAGATTAATGATCTGAATTTTTGTCCTGATAAACTTGTCTATCTCCACACTGTATTTTAATATCTAGTGTAATTTCGATCATGACCTGTAAATATAAGTGGAATGATTTGTAAAACTAACAGAGAATATCTCATGTTACATTCCTATCCATTATTCATTGTAATGGAAAATAAATTTATTTTGTTAAAAGACTGGTAGATCAGTGGCTTAGACTTTATAGTTGACAGCTTCACTTGTCTTGGGAGTCTCATCAGTGCTGATAGCCTGGTGACTGAAGAAATCTCGACTGGCCTTTGCCAACTTGCGTCACCTATGGCGTAAGCTAGATATCCATCCCATCTGCTAACCAAAGGACGAGTCTGCTATGCATCAGTTCGCTCCATCCTCCTATACGGGTGTGAAAAATGACGAGTAAGAGTAGAGGATATTCGTAGGTGTCTTCGAAGCATTGTTCGTATATGCTGGGACAATCAAGTAAGAAATGCTGCTGTCAGGAAAGAGTGCTAGGTAAAGGTGGGAGATTAATAGGTAAAGTACTGAATTTTTATCACTTGAGGTGGTTGGGACATGTGTTACGTATATCCAACCACCGATCGCCTCGACAGAGCTATGTTTCGTGGTGAATGAGTAGGTTGGAAGAAAACTAGGGGCGGCCGGAGCGAAACATGGCACAAATCCACGAAGTCACTCACAAGTGGACTGAACCATGTAAGTAGGTGTCGAATACCTGGTTGGGGTCTGCGAGACAACTGTAACCGATGGTTAGAGACCTTAAATTATGTGGCTCAAAATCGTTTGCAATGGCGCAGGTGCACCCATTCTTTGTGTTCGCTTAAATTTCAATCTTCTGAATTCCTTATCACCTCTATCTTTCTCTTTTTCATTCTATTTCACTGGAGTTTACTTCTTGAATAATATTTTCGAACCCTAATCTCTCCGATCACCGCTAATACAATAAACAACCTTTACTACAGTGGGATTTGAATTGACAATGTGGTATGGCAACTTGAACTGACGTACGAAGTTCTAAGTTGTAACTGACTGACTGACTTATTGGTTCTCGACTTTCAGCCACAAGGATTCAGCTTTAATCTCTTATCCCACCTACTTTGATTTCGATACCTTGGTAGTTATAATTAGCTCTCATACTTGTAATGTTATAGCTTGTATACACGTACCTCGTGAATGAGTTAATTAATTAATTTTATTATGGAGTTTTTTTTTCGCTTCAAATACGATGTTCTACACCAAAATCTAAGTGAATGATTGATTAAACCAAAAGATTAGCAGGATATAAAACTCCACTTCATCTGAACATATCAATGAACTTACATTATGTATGTAAAGCCAATCTTCACTGTAAACTATGTTTTTATTCTCAATAAAATCAACTAATGTATGTCTAGTGTACTCAATATTTGTCATTAAATTATAAAGTTTATTAGCGTTCAATTTGTTCTACATTGATTATAAAAACGTTTGCTTAGCCCAATAACTTTCTCTATCATTATTAACAATCGGATATTCTAACGTATATATTAATTCAGCAGATTCTTTTATCTTCTCAATGTTCAGTGCTATTACATGAGAATAACTCGAAAAAATAAGGAAAAATATATATCCATTTCAAAAATATAAATTAGAAACTATCAATTGTGCATAAAACTGTGTCATTTATGATGGAGATCTGAGTAATAGATAAATATTTAATTATCTGTAATTTATAGGCGTTAAAACATGTTTTTCAACAATCAGTGAATGAATTAAAAGTTTAGAGTAATACTAATATAAAAAAAAACTATAAACTAATTGTTTAATAAATGTACTACATACTATTTTGATGTGATCTTGTTACGAATCTCCAAGGTTTGGTTAATTATTGTGGTGTCGACGAGTATACTGCTCAGCAGTTCGTTTTGCTCTTTAAGATAACAGAATATTTATTGCTAGAGTTCGATCATTGTGTCTTTGAATGATTGCTGGTATATTTTAGGATCATGGAATTAACGACCCAGTGTACTAAGTAAGTTAGTAACACACCAATTGACGAGGTAGTGAATCTTTATTAACTTGGATGGTTAGGACATATATTGCGTATCCGCATCCACCAACTATCACGACACGGGGGTGACTGGTGTAGGACTTGGTTGGAAGAAAACTAGGGGTGACCAAACTAAGACATGTCACCAGTACGTTGAGATACTGACTGCTAAACTAAATTATATAAGTTGGTTCAAACTACTTCGTTGGGGTCTCCATGATTGTCGTAGCAGGTGGTAGTAGACATGGCTCAAAATTGTTCGCATTAGCTCAATTACATTCACTCTCAATCCTCTCGTAGATCCCAAACTTCCAAAATGCCTTGTAAATTGTTTTAATCTTTTTTATGGCCACTGACAACTTCTCGCCTATGGTAAATGGATATAATGACTAAAATCGATGTGCACATGTGCAAATTTCTACGTTGTTCATATTTAAAAAAAAACGCATTTGCTCCTGATTGTATTGATTATTTCATCGTAATTTATTTACTTTCTTTATTTCAGCTTCATTATTGTGGTATGGATGCTGTGTCATCAGCTGTACAAGCCGGTTTAGAATTGGCAAATTTAACTTTACACTTATTACCACAGAGAAATCAATTTCAGCATACATTCTCTTCTATCTTATCCTCTGATGACGTAATCATCAATGTCGATGATCATTCATCCAATGATACTACTGCCGGTGATCTTAACAATTCCAATGAATCATCATCATTCACTCATTCCAATTCTCATCAATCATCCGATAATTATGATGAAATGATTAAATCTTCCAGCAGAAATTATGTCAACGATCATTCCGACTGTTTAAGTGCACGTACTAGACGTTTGTTAAAACGCCGCCATTCGGAATCTGATCAAAATCTTGCCTGTTTATAATGAGTGGTAGATGTATATTTTCTGTATGTATGTATGTGTGTGTGTCTGTCTGTCTGTAAATAAGGCTTCATTATTTGTGACTGTGTATGGTTTAGTTTGTTTTATTTGCTCCCTCTCTCTCTCTCTCTATTCCTCCATCCTTCCATGTAAATAGATATACATTTCCAAATGTATATAATAATAATAATAATAATAATAATAATAATGTAAAGTGCAATTTACCTATTTATGTAACCAATACTACTACTACTACTACTACCACTACTACTATTACTACTGTTACTACTACAAGTAATGCTATTTTAACCATTTTATATTATGAGAAATATTGACCAAGACGGCAAGAAAGAAATAAGAGGAGAATACTATGGACAATCATTGTTTAAGTGTTCGTGACTAAATTATTCAATTTATTTATTGTTTTTTTTTAGTGTACCACAACCTACTACTTAATTTGTCTATATCAACTTATATATATATATATATATATATATATTATGCAGATGAATGAATTCAACATTTCTGTTTGTTTTTTTGTGTGTGTATGTGTGTGTCATATACATTGTATTCCCCTCTAACCATGTAATAATTAATTACTGTATATACGTACATAATTGATACATTTGTCGTATGGTTTATGCATTTTATGCACATTTCATTGATTATCGATAAATGCAGATCTATGTATGTGCACAATCATTACATTTTTTTTATCGGTTTATTGTCAAGATTTTCTTTATTGTTCTTTTTTTAAGTTTGTTTGTTAGTTATTATTATTATTATTATCATTATTATTGTTATTATGGATTCATTATGTTATGTATGCTAGAAGAAAAAAAAGCAGTGCCCATATCAACATATTATTGAATAATAATGTCTTATTTTTATTTAATTTCAACGAGTAACTTCTCTTTGCGATTTTTCAATTAGAGTTATGGAAATTAGTGTTTGTTGCATAATGAAATCATCAGTCAGTCGTTGTTAGACTACCATTAGAAACCTGGAAGCACTGGACTGCTGTTTCGTCCTGGTATAGGACTCATCAGCAGTGCGTATCCTTGACTCCGGCACCTCGCAGAATTCGAACGCGGGATCTTCGATGTTGCGCGCGAACGACTAACCATTGGACCACTGGGCCGGCATCCAGCGGCGTTTGATTATCGCTAATACTTCTATTACCTGAACTAATGTACATACGTGTGTACTCACAAAGTTTTAAGTTGCAACTGATTGACTGATTGAATTCTACTCTTCAATTAAATCATTCAACTGTTCTAATTCTCATCAGTTCAAAAAAATTCAATACTAGACAATTGGTTTCTAGATCAGGTGGTTAGTAAAGAAGTGATAAAATCAATTCGTGGATTAGAAAATTATGAATTTTCAAATGAATATTTATTTTAAGTGTACACTGTTAAGAAAAAGTTCCATGTCAAGATTATAATAAGTGTATAGTTCTCGTAATTCTTTTTGTTGTTGAAAAAAATGGCTCATCAAAAGCTATCAATTCATAATAATAATAGTAATAATAATAATAAATCTATACCATCTACAAATGGTATTAAGATTGAAATTATGTTGAATCGGTCTTGTACTCAGAGTTCTTTGTTAGTTGATTAATAATAAATGGACAGTATCTGAAATAAGGCTGTTAGAAATGGTTAATTGAATTGATCTTCATTGTTACAACAACCTTTGGGTCAAAAGTGTCTGTAGTAAATATTGATATGATATTATTAAAAAGAAATTTTTTACCTTCTATTATCTGTCATAGCTGTTTTGATTATAAGTAGACAGACAGACAGAACTTTGCACGTAAGTACATCAGTTCAGGTTGCCATGCCCCATCAGCACGGAGACGCAACTGTCAGTTGAAATCCAAGAGTGATAGCAACAATAGAAGTATTAGCAGTAATGGAGAAGATTAGGGAGCGAAGATATGATTCGAGAAGTATAATTCAGTGAGATAAATCTAGAAGGAGAAAGATAGAGATTATGAGGAATGCAGAAGCTTAGAATTTCGTAGAACACAAAGAGTGGATGCACCTGAGCCATCGCAAACGATTCTCAACCATGTCGTTCAGGGCTTCTAACCATTGGTAACTTTCGTCTCGCGGACCGCAAGCAGGTAGCCTACATCTACCAACATGACTCAGTCCACTTGTCAGTGACTTCGTGGATTTGTGCCATGTCTTGGTTTGGCCGCCTCTAGCTTTCGTCCAACCTACTCCTACACCACAAAAAATAGCTCGTCGAGGCAGTCGGTGGTTAGCCATACGTAGCACATGTATCAACCGCCTCAACTGATGAAGTTTCACTACTTCATTTATTAGTTTGCCATCGATACCTGGAGCTCGTTTTTTTGATTATAAGTAAAGATGTATAGTGACTAGGCTTTACATATGTCGAATGAGATTGATCAATTGCAGTCCTAATTATTATACCGATAGAAATTAATCATACTTTAGTCGTTTTTGCCCATTAGTAAGTGATTAAAGTTAGACGAATATCATGTAATAAATATCCCATTAAAGAACAGACTGTTCTTCAGTTATTTGTTTCATAATTTTACAGTTCACTTAACGATTTGACCAATATCGAAAACCTGGGAACATTGGACTGCTGTTGTGTTCAAGTATGAGGCTCCTTACTAGTGCGCATCCATGGTCGTATCAAGATCTAATTGCAAGGCCTCCAGTTATCTTGTGGAGTCTTTATTGAGTTTCGCCTTCATGGTTTACATTTCTGATTGGATACACACTGGTAAGAAGTCATGTCTTGAGTAAAGCAACAGTTCAGTGCTTCATGGTTACAATAACCGCTTAACTAAGGTCATCTCGTGATGTATAATCTCTCTTCCCCTGATAAACCGTCCATTGCTTTATTCTTAAAGGCAACAGTTCTTTCATACTGTTCTTTTGTAAAATATTTTTATTAGCCATGTTACTGATTTGTACAATGGGAAGGATGACTTGAATTGAATGTTTGTGAAACTCTTTTTGTTATATTGAACTTTTTATCATCACTATTGAGCATTCACTAAACATACAGAGTTAATGTTACAACTAATAATCTGAATGGTTATTATTAGGACGATGTTTTATATGAAAATACATTTATTAATAATAAAGTTTCACATCTCTCTTTCCGTTGAAGGATGAACTGATACTAATGTACATGTATGATGTGATACTTTTATTCAATAGAATTCAAATAAACAGTTCAAACTATTATTTTCAAATCAACAAACTGTATAAGTAAATCAAATTTAGAGGAAAATTGTATTAGCAGTAAACTCTTACAAGCGAAGTAGTTTAGTCATTAAGATTTTTATTACTACTAGTATTATTATTATTGTTATTATTATTATTATAGAAGACTTTAGTAACAAAGGTACGAGAAAAATAAACTATTTAAATCTTTTCCACGTGATTGATTGTCGTTGCCATTTATGCTGTCATTACTATTGAGTATCCTTTGACGAGCTTTTTTTTCATAATTACATTTAGAATTTTGTAGGTGTTTGTCATTTGCCAAATTAATTTATAGATTAGATGTATGGCAGTTAGTGTATTGATTTCTGACTGACCTGACGATCTAAAAACAGGCGCTTTAAACACTGTTGAGAAGTTAGAGTAGACCATCAGATTGACGTAATGAAAGGAATGTGAAATTTTGTTGCAGGGATTTCTAAAGATTAATTTTGTTTGTAGGTCAGGTTTTGTTACAGTAGTACACAGTGGATATGCAGCAGTGTCAGATTCGGATATATGACTCTATTTGATTGTTTTGAAAATGGGTGTTTGATTATAAGGTGTACACAATTTGCCCAGTAAACGTTCTTCTTCAAGTAAATCGCTTATTCCATCTGTTCTCACCGTCTTCGTTCATTGCGGCATCTTCCAAAACTAAGAGCCAGTGAATAGTTGTTTCATCTCAATATAAAACTCTTCAACAATATAAATGGACTGTCATAGTCAACCCAGTAGTGACGTACTTAAAATGTCAGAAATAAAGAATTATTCACTACCGTTCTGTTGGATGATCGCTCCACTTACAAATAATCGAAGTTGAAACTATGATGTCCTTGGAAGCTGATGCAATAGTACTTACTAATGGCTAAAAGCTCGTTGTTAGACTTGAATAAATTGGTTTCTATCCCTGACTGGGTCGTAGGTATGTACTACTAAGGAGTCTCATTTCAAAACGAGACCTCCATTTAGTGCCGTTTGATTTTAAGTGTTACTCTTATTGAGATCAATTTAAGGCGAATATGATCTGCAATGTTAAATTAACGATTCGCTAATGCCTTTTGCAACTATATAAGACTCACTGATTGCTTACTCCACATACGTCTGGTGATACTTGTTTTGTGGTGTGTGCTACTTATACGAACGATATAAGTAGTATAAGGGACGTGAAAGAAGTCTCACGGTCACTAGAGGAAAATGGAAAGCAAATGGAGCAAAAGCAAGAAGTAAATGGAATACCAACAGGAAGTAAAGGAAGCAACAGCAGGAATGGAAGAAGACTGGAGCGTTGGGAGTCAGGACTCAAAGATAGTGTGCAAATAGAGTGTTCAATGTAATGTCTTCGTTTTTAATTGACTAAGAGTGTAAAGTTGCTAAATACAATCTACCGCGCCTGTCTCAGTCTTCTCAGTTTGGGTGCTTATTTAAAACAAACATGCTTATTTCGGTCATAATAAAAATTTTTTTTCCGAAATAGTAAAGTGATACACAATTATATTTTTCAAAAGTCAATTGATCAATTATTTCAATATTTGAAGTATCAAAAAAGAAAAAACAGCACAAACAAAACAATAGAGAAAAAAATCAATAAATTTTTTGAAAATAAAACGGAAACGATTATGAAACGTTTTTTTCGAAAATAAAGAATTAAATACCTAGTGATAAATAAAGATCATATTTTTGATCTGTTCATTTAAATAACATTTTACTGTATCAGTTCCATGATAGAGATGGTTTGGTTGTGTTGTTTCTCTATCGATTAGATAGTAATTTCATTTAATTGATTTGTGCGCTAATTCGAAAATTGTTCAATGTTGTATTGTTGAATTCTTGGACAATTAATTCTGCATCTGTATAGTGTTGAAGATAAACTTTAGCTAAACCATTCGACATTTCATTCAATAAAGAATGTTCGAATTGTATAGATAATATTTTCTGAAATAAAAAATATTATTTGAGTGTTAATCACATGAAAAACACTATAGAACTTTGTAAAATTCATTTATGGAAATCTGTGGAAGTAAATATTTATTATTCATTAGTGAAGAATTTGTTTGCAGCAAACTATGAACCATATCTTTCAGAGTTTCAGTTGTATTAGCTGTAAGGAACATTGTATTGAACAGTATTAACACACACATACTTGTTAGCACTGACAAATAATAAGATGTAACTAGTTTTCAGTTATGTTACCCAATGAAATCTGTTGGGGACGTTAGATCCCCAGAACTCGCTTCATAAATGCCTTAATTTTGCATTTTATGATTCCGAGCATGGGACTGATAGGTTGACCTTGAGATTTCATTTCTCACTAGGAAAATCCTTGGCTGTGATTGGTTTAGTTGTGTATTTTAGTGTTCTATTTTTGTGACTGTCTAAAGGACGTTTCTGTGATGTATAAATAATCGTGATTTGTGTGCTTGAGATCATTGTGCTGCTGGGTGTTTGTAGAATATACTTCATACGCCATATCAAAACTTCTCGTTAGCTGTTTTGAGTCAACGGATCAGAGTAACCCACCTGAAAGCTGGTTGATTGTCTAGTTCTCGTTTATCGACCAAGTTGAACCCTTAATAGTTTCCAGCATACCTAGCGACGAAACTAACAAAATCTATTCGTAATCACAATACTCATCAACATAACTAAAATCAATGATCTTATACACTCACACAAGTTCATTTAATCATGAGATGAAAGTTCAACTGAAAAACTTAGTCATAGTAAATCCGAAGCAATAAGTTATGCACTTTTAAAATGTTCACTAATCAATAAAGTGTAGTTACGATCTGATTATGTATATATAAAATAACAATGAAAACTTTCTAAATGGAATCAATTAACTTTTCAAACTATAAATCGTTTTCATTTTGACATATAATCAATCAGCTAATTTGGAAATTGTTCAAGTTAGCTTTTTTATAATCGCTTCATACAGATGTTTTGTTAAAATAACATAAATTGAAGATTTAATTTTACGCGTACTGATTGATTTCAGTTTGAATGAAATTGAAGCTTAATTTTCTCTTATGATGGATGATTGATTATCTATAATAAGAGGAAGTCAGTATTTTCAATGACCTTTTACTTCTCAATCTTGTTATTCAACATTGTGTAGTATATAGTTAAATTGATTTTCCAGTTTCACACTCCCATTGAATTATATCCAGAGGAAGTAGCAATATTCGAAGACTTATAATCTATGTTAGGTAATTAGAAATGAACTTGGATGTCTTGTGCTAGTTGACGTTTGTTTACAAGATATATTTTACAGGAGAATCATTTGCTTCCTATGCGATTTTTATCTGAATTATAGTATCTAAGATTTTACCCCTTATTTATTCTGTGCCTAGATTAATTTTCTGTGAGACCAGGTTTTTGAAATTGACTGACTATTGAAAAGTGACTAATATCATCGTCTTTATCTAAAGTCCTCGAACTGCTGATCGGATACTATCAGTTAGGTTGTAATTCAAACACTAGTCTTAGATGGTTGAAGCTCGTTGTCCGGAAACCCTGAACCATTTGACATGTGTTAGCAAAGTTCCGATTGGCTATCAAGATTTATAATCAATACACCAATGACCCGTATGACTATTATTATTGGGAATTATTGTTGAATTATTAAAAATGTGATATCTTTAACTCTATTTGTGTTGGGGACGTTAGATCCCCAGAACTCGCTACATAAATACCTTAATTTGGATTTTATGTTTACGAGCATGAGCTGATCAGTTGATCTTGGGATTTCATTCCCCACCAGGAAAAACCTTGGCTGTGATTGGTTGCTGTGTATTTTAGTGTTCTATTTTTGTGACTGTCTCAGTGACGTTTCTATGATGTATAAATAAATGCGATTTGTGTGCTTGAGATCATTGGGCTGTTGGATGTTCGTAGAATGTACTTTCTACACTATATCAAGACTTTTTGGTTAGTCATCGGATCAGAGTAGCCTACCTGGAAGCTGGTTCATTGTCTCGTTCTCGTTTATCCACTAAGTTGAACCCTTAATAGTTTCAAGCATACCTAGTGACGAACCCATCAATTTGATACTACTTATTTGAATAAAATCTTTTTTTTCAAAAAATATTATTGTATTTAAACAGAAAAAAATAAATACAACTTACTACATTTTTAATTTTTTGCTCTAACCATTTTGTAAAATCACTAGTAGTCATTTCTTTTGGAAATCCTTGAATCGTAACAATAATTGGTTTGGTGTCTGTTTTAGCAGTGAACAGATTATTTGTCTTATAGATTTGCAATTCAGGATTATTCATAATTGTTATCTGTTCGGTATGACCATTATTTGGCCATGAATTTATCCAATCCGGATTCTTTTTGAATTCAGATAAATTGTAACCATTATTGATTATGTTATCATTATTATTACTATTATGACAACTTGTTAAGTAGGGAATGGAAGTTGAAAGTACTCCAGTCAAATCATTATTATTCAACATTGAATTGCTTGTAAAGAAATTTGGAATTGATGTTTGATAAATTAAATTCGGTATTTGAAATCCTAGCATATTTGATAATGTTGGAGTACATTGAATTAGTGCTGAAAAACAAAAGATTTTAATCATTGTAACACACTTATTAGTTATTTCATTTTATTAATATAGATGTGACCAGTGGAATTCTGCCATCTCGGATATAGGCAATAATTACGAAAGATAATGGGTAAGGTCGCGCAATGCCTTGGGTGATTTAAGTTAACCGTTGGATGCCTGTTCAGTGGTTTAAAAGTTAAGTGTTCTGACACAGGAATCATGGATGCGCGCTACTGATGAGTCCCATACCAGGACGAAACGGATGTCTAGTGCTTCCAGGTTTCTGATGGTGGTCAAACAGTGATTCATCCATGATTTCGACGTGTAAAAACATAATCCAAGCTGTGTTCTGATTTTGGGGACCAGTCTCCGTCGTGATCGATAAGAGTTGGTTGACACGATAAATGATCAACTACATATGATCAGTGATTAAATAATAGTAAATAACTCAGTCTTACAGAAGGTTAGTCATTGTTCGAATACCTTAATGGCATCGTTTCAATCTGTCAAGCTTGTTAACCAGGTTTTAAGTCTCACGTAGAGTATTAGTTCTCTTAAGATTACAAGTATGCTTTGCGAAGAATACTTAACCAGTAGAAAGTCCAACTCCTCCAACCATCTTAACATTTTTATTTTTGTTTTTATCACTCATATTATTTGACAAATAATTCATAGTTATAACATTTTAATGTAACATTTCATTATATAAATAATGAGACGATGGAGAGAATTTCTAGCTGAGGCCGACGATTATGGTTGGGTTTCATTCTTCAGGTTAGATGCTTTGGTTGTAGCGCTTTCATCATTCTTCATCAGCTTAAACTTCATTTAGAAGTGCAGTATTTGAACTTCTCCGAATCATCGAAAGGAATGAGCTGGCGAACACTTATGATCTTATCAACAACATCTTTGATGATATGAAATTCACTATGGAAAAAGGAGACAAACAACAAATTATCATTCCTGGTTGTATCAACTGCTAGAATTGATGCAGAAAAACTAGAAACTCAAGTATATCGGAAGCTAACCCAAACACCTAATTTTCAACTACAGTAGCAACAACCTAAGAACTCACAAAATCCACTGCGTGCACACTTTATTCAAGAGAGCAAAAACACACTGCAGCACACATGAAGCAGGAAAACACGAAGGAAAATATCTGATGATTATCTATCAGAAGAACAGTTATTCATGCAACTTCATCAAAAAGTAAAAAAAACAAAATGGAAATCAAACACAGGAACCAACAATTGCACCATCCTGTGACATATAAAAGACGTATTGGAGATTGCAGCAAGAGAATTGAAGCCGTTTGGAATAGGTGTAGCATACAAACCAACAGAATCGCTTCAATCAGTCCTATGTAAACCAAAGGACAAAATATAAAAATGAAGAAAGGCCAAACATCATTTACAAAATAAACTGTTCCAACTGAGAATAAAGTTACACTGGACAAAGTGGACGTGCTGTTGATCTTCGCCTATATGAACATCGATTAGCAGTCAAACGTCATGACATTTCCTCTTTTATATCAATACATGCAAACAACTGTGGATATACATTCCATTGGAAAAATTTTGAAATACAACGAATGCTAGAAAATTATCAGAAGCTTAGCTCTGAAATCAATCGGCTACTAACAAACACACCGACATTGATCTAATTTATCAGCCAATCAGAAAAATGATAGACAATCGTAAGATCAAGAAGCAAATGAAAGGGCGATACAATCACATAAAGATGCAGACAATGACAGGCTAAAGGTCAACTAACAACCAATCAGGATCGAGGTCAACAGGACTAAGCTGAAGTTTGTTTAAAGAGCAACAATTAGAGCCCCACAACCAAAACATAGAACTTATAGAACGATACTGCACTTAAAAAAGTTTTATTTTCCTAAATTATATAATTACATACTCTATCAACTGACTGCTCGTCGTATCATTTAAAATTTATCTGACTGAGATATTGTGCATAGTCTTTCGAGAACACTGATCACTTTGATCGATCTGCTAATTTCTGTGACTTAATCAATTAATTTATGCTTATCATGGAAGATTGATGTATATTTTCTAAATAAGTAATAAATCCTTTCTTGAATTTTTATTTCTGTAATGTCATTAAAAATGGAATGAATTAAGTTTATCAATGTTGACTACTGTAATATTCTATGGTGTAATATAGTATCTACCTTACGAAGTGAAAGCCGGTTTTATTGAATACTTACAAAATAATAATAGTAATTATTATTAATATTTGTTACGCCTGAACGTATACACGTCAACTTGATATACTTGAACTATTACAAGTTTACCTAGTAGGAAAACGAGAGCGAGGATCGAGGACTCGGCAACACGACATGCTACTCAAATCCGATTATCCCTACCCCCATCGAGTAAAAATACGAAGACTTGAATGTGAAGTAGAACCTGTATTCTACAAGCATCCAGAAAGTACGAGGTCCGAGTCCAGAAGAGAATCAGGATCCCGGACTAGGGATCCGGGACCGGGTCCTGGTCATAAGAGGTTACACATAATGCGTATTTATACATTTTGGTCGAATAGGAAACATTATCGAAGTCTGTGACATTGGCAGTTAAGACGACCAATAGGAAGCAACATTTGAGTCGACATTGAAATTCAGGATCACCAATAAGAAACAACATTGGAGCACGTGACATTGATATCTAGGACGATCATAAAATTGACCAGTAGAAATTAACCGATAGGAATCGACCTATAATTTTCCTAGGATATTGGATGAATATCCTAACATTATTATTATTATTATCACTAATATTGTAAATATTATTATAGTCAACTGATTACTGTAGACTAACAGTGAACAAAGAAGTTTGTATTGAATGAAACTGATTCATGTGTAGTAAGTAACTCTGCCTGTAGACCTTCGGGTGGTTGTTGTCAGTCTCACGTTTGGATAACAGGAGGAGGAAGAGAGTCACACCAAGGGATTGATTGAATTCACAGGCTATTTATTCAATACAATATAAATTAATTATCAACATACCATTAGTGATTGGATTATTATGATGCGTATCAATTAAAGGTGTTGCCAATGGGAATGTATTATTCATTCCAGTGATATAATTTGATAATGTTGATGTTAGTATCGGTGGTAGAGGTGGCCCTAGTGGTGGCGGGACATTGAAATGATTCAATTCTTTATTGTGAATCAATGCATTGAATGGAAATTCTGGTTGTTTCATTCTGAAAACATTACCATAACCTGATTGCAAGGGTATGGATGACTTTGTTGGTGGTACACTAGTCAAATTCTGTTCATCAAAATGGTGTAATTGAGTAAAAGCTATCGGATTCATTAGATTCGTTAATGCTGATATAGGTGACGATGCTGATGCTGATGAGGCTGATGTTGATGTGGATGACGACATAAGATTATTTGTAAATATTCCAATATTTCCTGACATATTTAACAATAATTGATTTAAATCATCTCTTGTACATTGAATCACGTCAACGTAGACACCGATTGGAATTGGTAAACCATATTTAATGAAAATATTTCTATGCTTTTGTTCACAGACATTTTGAGCGGATAATTGTGTGACGAATTGAATCATAGCTTCACCGATTGGTTGACCCTATTAAAAAAAGAAAAGAATATAATTTTTAAAAAAACATTATTATTTTTAGTCTGAAGAACTGATGGAAACTGTTGGAATTTATAATTTATATTGTGAACCAAAGGAGCATAAAAAGCTTTGTAATCCTACCTGGTAACGAACACTTCAACAATATGCATCGAAGACACTACGTGGAATCGAACTCACGTAGTCCTTTCAAGTCTCACATCAAATGATTAGCCTATAGAGTGCTGAGTTGGCATCCAGCCATATACATTTTTAACTTCAGTCAACTTACATTATCGATCAATGATCTTTCGGTGACCTTAGTAGGTAAGTGTTTCACATCTGAAATTGTTAAGTTCAACGATAAGTGTTGGTCTCAGTAACAAGAGTTCTGATAATTGTAATTTGACAATGGTCACTAATGAATACACAATTGTTAGTGGTATGTGAGATTCGTAGAGACTGTTGAACTTTATAACTTACATTACAGTTTGGTCTTGGTTAGATATACAGTCACTTTGTGTGTCAAATCAGTGGTTAAAGTCTTAATGCTCAACTTATGATCTGAAGGTCCTAAGTTCAGCTTTAAGTTGAACCCCGCGTACGTACTAGAAGAAAACAGTTGTCTGATGCTTCTTGGTGTTTATTGGTTATTTAACTAAGGTCAGTTAGTAATGCCGACTGTTAAAAATCTTCTGTGATATCAAAAAGAAGGCAGTGTAGTTTCGGAGAAGTATTTTTTTGAACAATACTGTTAGTAATCAATTACACTCTTGAAACTCGATTTCCCATATACAACTGGCTGATCACTAAATAGTGGCTAATGTTATATTTTTATAGTCGTTTTAGGGCTCAGCGAATAATATCAAGCTTATCATGTTCCCTGAAGTTGACAAGCTTGAGTTTTGTAGGAATTTAGTTACGGAATGCTACGGAGTTTAAAATAAGGATGAAATAAACATAGGTGTTCCAATCAGAAAAGGTCGAAAAAGAAGGTCACTTGATAACGATTAGAAATGTTAAGAAATTGACTCATTTTCTAGGAGGTAATGAATGTATGTATATGAATGAGTACTTATAGCCGAACAGATTTTCTCTCTCACTATTACCTTTTCGCTTCAGTTGTCAGTTCGGGGATGGGAGCATATTTTATACATCAAAAGAAGATCAACTTCAATTTAGAAAAATAAATAAATTGTAAATCTTACTGTCACATCATACACTAAGTGTATTCCATGTACTGCTACATTACGCCAATTATCTTGAAGAAATATTAAAATATCTGTAATGTCAGCATGAATTGGCATCCCACATATACGTACAAATGTTTTAGCAATTTCTTCAATGGATAAATTAATGCTCAATAATAAATTTTCATTATTTTTACTACTACTACTACTAATACCAATGTTGTTAGTAGTATTATTATTACTTGTAGTAGTTGTAGCAGTAGCACTGATAATAGTAGTCGTATTAGTCGTTGTTGCTGCTGTTGCAGTCGTCGTCATTGTCGTCGCCGTCGCCGCCGCCGCCGCTGTGACCATCATCATCAAGTTTGGTCCGAATATTTGTAACAATTGTAAATTTGTCAGATCTGGTATAATGAATTGATGATTATTAAGATTGTTTGTAAAAGGTGTAATACTGTGAGTACTAACATTACTACTGTGACAACTATTCGTATTACTGATGTTACTGTAACTATTATTACTACTACTACTAGTACTACTATTACTACTACTAATACTACCATTGACATTATAATTCACATTGTTAATTGTTAATGGTATGGAATTTATTGGAAACCTTGGTAGAAGTAATGTTGAATTAAAATTATTATTATTATTATTATTAGTATTATTATTGTGAATAGTAGTCGCAGTATGTAACGGATGCATTGTAGCAACAGGTCTAACATAAGGTCTATTTGTTACAAACTGATGATTTGATGTGAGAATATTTGCTGCTGCTGCTGTTGTTGTTGTTGGTGGTGGTGGTATTGTAGGTGTATTGATCACACCAATGACGTTATTCAACACGTCTAGACTATTAAAATGACTCAATGAATCTGTAGGTAGAATATTGGTCATTGAATTAGTTAAATTTGTATTGGATAGAATTCTTTGAAGATAGGAATTTCCATTTTGTGGTAGACCAAATGATAGAGTTTGTTGTTGTTGCTGTTGTTGTTGTTGTGGATATTGTGGCAAATCGTTTAGAAATGAAGGATTTGAATTGATCAATGAAATTAACTGTGGAGTATATGTAAAATCTGCAATAGTTGATTGATTAGAGAGTAATTTTAAATTATAGTCTGAATATAATAGATTATTAGTGGTTTCAGTAAAATGTGGCATGTAGACACTAGGATTATTATTGATAGTTAACAAAGCGCTGTTACATTCTGTTGAATGGTTATTCCAACAATTAAGTTGTTCATCACAATTTGGATTTAAAATACTATTCATAACCTGTTAAATGAGAAAGACACATAGAGAGAGAGAGTGGGTGAAAAACAATCTTGAAAACATTTCACAAGTCTCATTCACTAATTGTCAAGTTTATAAAATATCATTCAGATAATCTGGTTATCACCGTCCAATCAGAGAAACTCTCTGGTTCTTGTACAAGTGTAGTGTTTACTATTCAATGGGAATTCAATATTGAATGTAATTATTTGATACCAATATTGAAGATGAGCGCTAGCAATCCTAGTTCAGGTTTCTGTCACAGTATGCAGTCATGATGGAATATGAAAGTGAACAGAAAACCTTGAAGGTCAACAGTGAATAAGTGAAATTGAAAATATGAACAGTCTTAATCCAACATAGTAGAAACTTGGTGTTGTTTATATTAAGCCTATGAAAGCTTTATAAACTTGTATCTTACAGTAGTAGGAGTTGTGGGAAGCTGACTATCACTAGATAACTATTCAGTCTTAATTTTAAACATTGTAATAACTCACATCCATGACTAGCATTTTTTATGAATAAGTTAATTCGTTGGAATGTAACTGTTCATAGAAATTTAAAACAAGTCGACTAATGACATAACATAATCCACGCCTACTGTCATAGATTTACATTAACTTAGTGCAAACTTGAGTAATTTGATAAATTCCACTTTGTTTGCTTTCACAAAAATTGATCATATCAGACAGTCATATATATTTTCGTTGAAATTCTGTCCTTATTCCCTTTCTATACAAAATGTGCTTGTGTATTTCCTTATACTACTTATTAGTATTCAGTAGATATTTCTATTTGTAATGATTTTTAGCAGTATTGTATAGCGCAAGTTTATTTGTTGTGTAATGCTCTGAAGTATGTACACTTAATATTATGACTGTTTTCTCTCAACACTCATACCAGTTATTTCTGGTTTTATTTAAACGTAACAGTTTCCATTTGTGTACTATTCGTTTGCAGTTTTGGTTGTTTGATAAACTTTCGTGAACAGCTATCCGCTGTCACTTACTCGATCGTATGTTGTAATTAATCTATCGGATATTATTGCAGGAGGCCTTTCTCTTTTCATACTTACAGACGCGTCAATAGATGTGAATAACTTATGAGTTGAAGTTTATAACAAAACTGTGTATATTATTTGATTGTATAAGCGTTTTTTCAATAAATCGTTGTTATTTTAAACTCCAGTTTCATACGTATCAGGACCATGCGGATAGAAAACTCGATTGAATCAACAATATATATATTGATGTCATAAGGTATCCAATACTACTTTACAACCAAAATTAAAATATTTTACTATACTGTGAGGAATCACAAATAAATTCTGATCATATTAATCGCTTACTTGATTGACTTCAGCTGGTGTAGATTTAAACAATTCAATATATCGATTACCAATATGTTGTTTATTATTTTCCAGTGCTTTTTCCGCAATCGTTTTTGTCTCGAAAATCACAAATGCATCACCAGTTGCACGTCCATCACGTTTATTGACGAATAGAATACCGTCAGCATTAAATTGTACTGAACAATTTATATTTGCGAAAAATGAAATCTATGAATTTAGTAAATAGAGAAAAATGTAGCGTTGGATGGATATGACCTATTGTGGTTAAATTTAAGATTTATATGCAGATGGAAGTCACCTTCTTTTCTTAACAGTTAATTGAGAAAGCTATCGAAAACCGGAATTTCATGAACAATCATTTTGTTCTATTCTATGTGGCACCTCTGTAACGTGTGTTGATGATATACAATGAATTTCAACTCAGGAAATGCATACATACTTAGGAATTAAAATAGATGAAATATGGTTAGCAGGAGAATCTCGAAAGTACTTTCTATCCTGTTCGGTTCTCACCAGCTGCATGAGCCTTCATCTCAGTGTTAATGTTCACTCTGGGATTCAAGCTCAATGCCAGTCGACTCAAACGTCAACGCCTTAACCACATAGGTATTGAATCTTGGCGTGAGCATTACCTATGGAATGTGGGCGTATCCAAATGACAAGTCCCATACAGTACAAATCGGACATTCTCAAATCCACTACTAGCTATATTCCATCCGTTCTACATCGATTTGCATAATAACGTCTATATCGAGACAGTCCTCACAAGGTGCACATACACCAAACAAAGTTGATTGAAATCCAGTCAAATTATTAACAGCCGTATAACCGAAATCATTAGAATTACATTTAAAAAGTAAGTTTTACAATTAATCTTTTGTTGACAGGTGAATAAAAAGAGCAAAACTTACTGTACAGCATGCAGAAATATTAACTTGTACAAATAAATATACACGTACTATGTAAAATAACTTAACGCATGCAAACAAATATTATCTGTAAATAACATGCATTGAATTTTCATACAGTCAATGATATTGCGATACAAGCAATAATGATCACCAATGGTATAAATCTAGACTGAATCAATGAATTTATTTATGCTAAGTAAAGTAAGAATTGCGGTTACCGGTTAGCAGCTAATCAGCTCGTGCATATATCATCATCCGAATTTTAATGCACACACTACTGCTGAAACTCTTTACTTACTGCTTTAAATGTTAACATTTAGATTCAAACATAAGCAGCTGATGAGTCCCAAAAAAGGATGAAACATATACCCAAAATTCCAGTCCCAGATACAACCAAAGCCTAATAAAAACTACTGTGAATAAATTGTGAAATATTTTGTTATTAATTTTTTCTTAAAGCTATTCTGCGATTATTTCGAGTTTTTCGGGGTACAATTTGATATTTGTTCAATTCAACCACTATACTCATCAGACTTAATCAGTGTAATTGATTTGTGTTTTCTAAATGTGAAATGGGCATGCTTAGATGATGAAAAGTAAAACAATGAGTCAGATAAAGAGGCTGGTATTCAACGACGTCTAGGGACATTTCAAACAATGAAAACAGAGATAATATGAATAAATGTTTGTAAATGGTTAATATTTTGAAAGCGAAAAGACTATTGTAACCAGAAGTGGAAACGAGGTTAAGTGCTGACGGGTACTCGTTAGTAAAGCGTACCTGCAGTCTTCAAGGAACTGATGCCGTTTTTGGTATCTAATCCTCTCACATAGTTGTACAGTCTGAGACGTCAACACTGAATCATATGCTCTAAGACTAGCCTCCTCTGCTACTGACTTACTTACAGTTGACTGATTACTGAGTAGTGAAATTTATCAATTGAATGAGATAGAACTCGATTAGTGGTAAAAGATTTGGTAATCATAGCATTGGTCACTGGATCAATCGATTGCAAATACTTCAGTATTAGATAAGGTCTGTCAGTCAGTCAGTACATTTTGGATTGTCTTATGATACATTCACTCATCAAGTTATTTTTGTGTGAAAACAAAGAAAGGCCATTTCAATCAAAGGTCAAACAATTTAAAAGAATTTCTATCAAAGAAGTAGCTGGATTATCATCGGAAGAGTAGAAAATTGTTACACCAGCACCACCACCCTCTCTTACTACACTGACTCACCAAGATAAAATCCGGACAAATTCACAAAATGGGAATAATTATGTTTCTTGAAAATATATGAAGAGAATATAAGTTGTAATAAGTAAGATATGAACAAACTCAAGGATGATCGAATACATTCAATCTTACAGATCAATATCATCTTTTCATTGTACATCCTAAATAAGGACTATTTGTAAAAAAAACAGATTTTACCTACTAAATGACCGATAATGATTGTTATTTTGCACTAACTACTAAGGCAGTTTATTATTATCTAGTGTTGTTTTTGCTGTTGAAAGTTCCTATCTGAAAAAGGCAACTGAAACTGAGATGAATGAAAACTGGCGTGAATATCCAACGTACTGTTAGAAAATCAATAATCCATACAGTTGCAGTGATGTAATTAACATTGACAAATTAACATTGTAATTTTCTTGAACGTTAGATAATAGCTAGTACAGAGCTGACACAGAGCGCAAGTGTTATCTGGGCATACTTGTACCCTATATTGTTGTTAGTCCATTCCCACCAAATAGTCAAACCTGACAGCATTCTCTTCAAATACCTCCAACCTGTTATTAATCTAGCAGCTACCCAGGGCCAATTAGTCTCCAAATTGCCCAAAGAGCATGAGTTATATCCTTGAGATAAACTACAAGGCCTAATAAATTACTATTCAACTATTTCGTGTCCTTTTTTCCCTACATCTCGCATGAATTATACGCTAGTTGTAAAACGAAATAACCATTTGCTACGTAAATAAAATATCGCTTTTCACAAATTTCACAAATTTGATTTATTGACACTTATCAATCAATGAATGTGAGATAATTTAGATTGAAATCGATCGCTAAATTTCTTTCTATCAATGAGGAAAACATTGACATGCTTCTTGTTTTATTGGATAAGAAATTTCATTATGGACAGAATATGTCATATTTTTGTGTAAAGCATATATATAATAAAGAAAGTATGTTTACTCAAAACATGTTATTATAGAAATAAATATGGAGGATATTCAATAATGACCGTAACCAGCTATAATCCAATGATTTGTTCAATATTCAATAAAGCATTATTCCATTGAACCCATATATATATATATATATATATATATATATATATATATATATATATATATATATATATGGGTAGAAAGATCATAAAAACAGAAGTAAAATCAAATTTTACAACTCCATTAACCCATAAATTGCAAATATCTGCTTGTCCATGTGTTTGTATGTGTGCTGAATATTTTGAAAAACATGGTTATTTTTTTACCAATTTTCTACCAACAAACCAATTATCACACGAATATCAATAGACATAAACCAGTACAAACATACAGATAAATAAATATATATATATATTATTAAATTGCTTTCCATAACCTTTTTTGTTTGATTGACTTTCATTAAAATTGATTGACAAATGAACTTGTCCATGACAATGCGTGTAAATGAATACAATACAATCTGACCACCTGTTATATCTTACCTGTGAGTAGTAGCATTGAATAAGTGTCACTCTCTCTCTCTCACACACACTCTCTCTTTCTGTATACACATATCTATATCGATTACACTTTCACACTTATACAGACACATACATTGATCCTTTTATTGTGAAGTGACGAAACCTAATGATTTTCTATTTGAAAGTTAGAAAAGAATATAAATAGTGAATGGGAAAAATTCAAGTAATTTCTAAGTACTCTTTCTTAATTGGCTATTATGAATATTTCAAAGTGTTTCTTAGACTAATAATGCTAGTTAGTTAGTTGATTCCGACAGTTAGAGCTAAATTTTAAAAAAATGATTATGCTATCCATTATGAACATCTAAAAATCTGTTTTCACAGTTACTGATGATTTAATGTTGAGAGTGTTGATTAGTCAAATATTTTTTCATAGTAATTGGAGTACTACTGTAGTGAAGGAGAACACAGATGAGGGCAACCGAATTGTATTAAACGAAAATTACAGAGTTACTCAGTAAAATAGGAAAACCATATCGTAAACGTTAATTTGCAAATCTTCAATCCATCATCAATCCATTGCCTGACATTTCACTATTCATGCGTTTCATACAAATTCCATAGTGTTCCCACTCTTCCTTTCTTGATCTTCTCCCATCTTCTGATGCAAGACATTACGTTTTCACTCGCGTCATATACTACTTATAAGTAGCGCGCACCACACTACTATCAAGAGAAAAGCTTATCATCACATTTTATCAACAAAGAAATCAGTTTAAATGTAAAACTTGACAACTAACGACTAAATAGAGATCGAAAAAAGTTTATATTTTCATTATAGGATTGTGGAGGTTGAAGAGTATCATTAAAGTTTTGGATCGACCAAACTTAAACCAACATTAAAAGTAACCTGGAAACTATAGAGGGTCGGTTCATCTTAGCGTGGGACTATTCAGCAAAGTGCATCCCCAACCTCCGTATTTAGGAATAGGATCTAGGACATGATAATGACTTCGATGAAACTCAAAAATCTACACAACCTCGCGATAAAAATTGTCATGTACTCACTAGCGACTAGCTTCTCAGGAATAGGACCTTCGGTTTTGTGTGCGAACGCCTCTAGAGTTCTAGAACACTGAGCCAACATCCAACCGAGTTAGTGTCTAATTTCAGTCAATGCACGATATTGCGCAGCCTCACACAATGTCTTCAGTGGATAACTGCTTCACATCTAACATGGTTGAATTCCACAGGTCATGGTTTCTTACCAGAACTCCGGGAATTTCTCCACAAAGCTAGTCACTAGTGAGCAAATGACAATTCCAGTGTAGGATTGTGGAGATTGTTGAGTTTCATTGAAGTTATTATCATGTTCTGTGTTCTATTCCTGTGTGCGGAGGCCGCGGATGCTTACTGCTGAATAGTCTCATACTAAGACGAAACGGCTGTCCATTGTTTCCAGGTTTCTTTTTAATGGTAGTCTTTTAATAATGACCGATTTATGAATCCAACAAAAGTTCGTAATTTACGTTAATTAAAAAATTACAAGGGTAACAATCTTTGTTCACATATACCAGACACTTACAATTTGTTCTGGTGTTGTTGTATAGGGTAAACCACGCATTCGAATCAATGTTTGACTAGGTGTTGTTAGCTGCGCCAAAAAATTTATTGCCTCTTGAGTTTCACCTATTAAATTACAAAAAAACAATAATCTCACATACAAAATGAAATATAAGGTGATAAGTTGTTTGAAATTAGTCTCATACCCATGTCTGTGAAAATGAAGATTTTATTTCTAAAATTATTTCAGGCTTTTAGCTATATATATATATATATTCTGATTATTTCCCATATGTTTCAAACATTTCAGTTCTATTATTTACTCTAAAGACTGACAAACTATCGATTAGACGAACAATGAGTTTCAGGAAGCACTCAGTAGATGTTTGGTTTTAGTATGTGACTCACCTATCACAGTGAACCGAACAGAGAGCTTTTAGGTTTCGTAGATAGTGCTTTATCGATAACAGATGATTTACGTATTTAGTTTTTAGTCAATGAACGATAATAAATTTAGTTTCGATTAGTTACAGAAAATCTTTTATCAATAATATGGTTCAGTTCAGCCAATGTACCAATATTCAGGTGTATCTTATTTTCGGAGTTCTAATCACCAGTATAAACCATAATTATTATTAACTGGAAATCAGGAAGCATTGAAACATCTGAAGGTTTTAAGCTTGATGCTGAATGGGGTAGTAGATGCGGACTGTTGAGGAGTCTACGCTAAGACGAACCATTAGGACTTGATTTTTAATGATTATTTTAAACTAAGATTAATTCAGGGGCGGAAATTCGGAAAACTACCAAAGCCATCACCCATAAGATACAACTGTTTGTTAACAGTTGTCTAATCAAAATACTTCGGGATCCGTTGGCCAAACACCATTAGCAACAACCTACTGTGGGAACGTACAAAACAGGTTCCAGTGGCGGGAGAAATCGGGAAGAAGCGCTGGAAGTGGATAGGACACACATGAGGAAAGCACCTTACTGCGTCACAAGACAAGCCCTCACTTGGAACCCTCAAGGACAAAGGAAAAGAGGCGGGCCAAGAAATAAATTGCTCCAAGAAATGGAGACAGACATGAGAAGAATGAACAAAAACTGGACAGAACTGGAAAGGAAAGCCTAGGACAGAGTAGGTTGGAGGAGGATGGTCGGGGCCCGTGCTCCATTGGTGGTAACGGGAGTAAGTAAGTAAGGTTAATTCATGATGTTATCTGTAAAATTAAACAATTTTCAAAAACCCATCATACCACTTTAGAAATGATGATGATAAAAGTCCACAAGCACTTACCACCATCAAATAATATTCACCACAAAGCTATTGAAAATGTGGAAACATTCATTATTCTTTAGGATCTTCTAACACAAAAATCATCCTATCATAAGTTTAATTAACCTTGGGTTTTGAAACATGGTAATAGTATAATTCTTATTTGTATTAAACATTATTCATTATCTGCTTAATACGAAGAAGATATTTTATTTGATCATTAAAATCAGGAGAAAAGTTGATTAACGTTTCTCATTAATAGAAAAACTAGATTAGTTTTAAGTTAAAATAACGTAAACTTAAGCCGTTTAAACTTTACCCTGAGATATGAAATGTTTTCCTAATGGAAAGATATAGTAACAGCTAAAATTCTTCGGAATCTATGACACCGATGCTCCTTCTAACAACCAGAACAACAATGTATCCAGAATAATTAGAGAATGTGAGATAACAAGAGTCATTGAAATATCAGTTGAAGTGACATGTTACAACCTAACTCTGCCTGGAATAAATGAAACGCTTTGGAACAAAGTGAAAGCATAATCTCGAAGACAGCTCGGATAAACCAAGAACAATCAATAAAAGGAATGTTAAAATTCTTTTAAAAATTCACATAAATGTGAACAGTTCGAACTAACCTCCAGCTATGGAAATAAAATCAGAACCAGTTGCAGCATAAACTTCAATATATCGTTTGCCAACATGATGTTTATGTTTTCTTAAAGCTAAATTTTGTTGTTCAGCATTCTCGAATTGTATCAATGCTTCACCATTTCTACGTCCAATCTTACTTAACACTAATGATATGCCACCTTTAGCAATATTTATACCGCTGAAAAATTGAAATATTTCCAAATCGGTCGCTTGCCATGGTAGTCCACGAGCTCGAACTACAACATTGTCACCAACTGTATCCGTTTTAGATCTTAAGGTTGATTTTTTTTTCGGTTAAAACAAAACAGAAAGTTAATGGTAATTTGATGTAAATATAAAGTATTTTCGCTAAGTAAACAAAAAAGTTAAGTTATCAGCTGAAAATATCCATATAGTTATCAGTAATTTTTATCTTTAAAAGTAACGACTCAGTGTATTCATGGTCTATTTTTTTATTTCATGAAAATCACTTATTTTAACCATGAACTAAACATCAATGGTATGATTTTAAATAATAAAGAGCTTTCTTTTTTCTAAATTCAAACCTAGACTACAGCTAGTCACTAGTGAGCATATGTATGGGGTCGTGGAAATTGTTGAGTTATTGTATGAAGTCATGAATTGATCAATGTTAGACGACCGCTAGAAACCTGGAAGCACTGGATGGCTGTTTCATCCTCGTATGTAACTCACCAGTAGTGTGCATCCACAACTTCTGCAAGTCGCAGGATTCATGGTGAAGTTTCTCCGAGTTCTAGTGAGTTGTGACCAGTGGAGTTCAGCCCTGTTCAGGTATCAAGTAGTGCTCATTGAACACAGTAGATGAGGTTGCTCAAGACGCTGTCCGGTGTCGGCAACAACTAACATAACAAATGGATGAGGTCGCACAAAATCTCTAGATCAGTCAAAGTTAGAAATTAACTCCTTCGGATTTTGGCTCAGTGGTCCAAAGGTCAGGCGTTCGTGCACAAGACCGAAGGTCTCAGGTTCGTATCCTGCGAGGTGCAGGAGTTGTGGATGCACACCAGGACGAAACGACCGTCCAGTGCTTCCAGGTTTCTGATGTTGGTCTAACAATGAATGATTGATGATTTCAATTGTATAAAATCAATAATCTCCATAACTCTAATTAAAAAAGTTGTACTATTTATATCAGTGGAAATAAATTTAATTATAACCAATAGTTTTATGAAAATAAATAAATGAATGAAGTAAAAATTTACACATTGATAGTTTACATTGTAGATGAAATCGCAAAAATCAGTGGATATTGAGTAACCATTTAAATATTCATATAGCTACACATATTCGACAGCATCAAATGCACAATTTTCAAGTTTCATTTCCATGACAAATCAGCATAATATTATTATGATGCAGTCATTCTTCTAACTATGTATTTGTTGAGCATCCAGCTTTTTCTTCATCTAGCTGAGTCTATAGGTCACATCTATTCATTGGTGATGTTCATCAAGTTAGGTCAGATCGCGTGATGTAACTAATCATTTAATTCAACAGATCATTGTGATCTTACACTATTGTTTACATTGTACACCCATGTTTTATCAATGACCATTGAATATTATCGAAACACAGTCAATTGTTCTGCATAGTATATAAAACATTAGGTCAATAAGCTCACAATAATAGATTAGTATGGCGATAAATACTGCCAAATTATTTTACGAGATTCATCAATCGATCATTATAAATCACCATTAGAAAATAGGAAGCACTAGTTCGCCTTTTTGTCCCTGTATGGGACTTATCAGTAGTACTCATACACGACCTCCGCTCGCTAGAAGCAAACCCAGGGGCTTCGGTGTCTTGTGGAGATTGTTGAGTTTCACTAAAGTTAGTATCATATCTTGGGTTCCTTTCCTGCATACGAAGACCACGGATGCGCACTGCTGATGAGTCCCGTACTAAATGGCCGTCGATTGTTTTCCGGTCTCTTTTTAACAGTGGCCTAATAGTGATCGATCTATGACTTCAATAAAACTCAGCAATCTCCACAATCCTGTAACAAAAATATTTTATGTAAGTATCCAACATAAAAGAATGATGCCGATATTGTAAATGAAGTGCTTCAATGACAAGTGTACAATATTTTTTTATATATTCATAAATACTATAAGCTTACATTATGGCTGGATAATATTCACGATTGACCGTTTCAAACTCTGTCCATTGCATTCCTACCAACGAAAAAATTAATTAAATAATGAATATATAAAAAAGTTATAATACATTATATTTTTGATCGACAATGTTGAATAAATTGAAGACAATCATCGTCATAGAAATATCATTAAAGGGTTGTGGAAATTGCTGTGGAATGAAGCCATGACTTGTGAAGTTGAACTCTGTTGGGTGCAAGGCGAGGTAACGCAAAATCGTGAATTGACTGAAGTTAGTCAGTGGTTTAGAAACTGAAGATCCTGGTTCGATTGTCACGTGCGGAAATCGTGAATGCACACTACTGATGAGTCAACTACCAGGGAGAAACGTCTCTTCAGTACTTCCAAGTTTCTTTCTAATGGTGATCTAACAATGACTGATCCATGATTTCAGTGAATTTGATAGAATTATTCATCTATTTCTTATACTTAGCTAACTGCACTCAAGAAATAACATTATAATTCATTCTGCATATTTTCTGTTCGAAAAATATTGATTTAATTTCAGTTCGACATATAAATATGCAGAGTAATAAATTATATCAATTGTGAAAGAGTTAAGAAGAGTACTCAAATGACTGATTATTCATAGATTAAATATAAATGGATATTTGAAAAGATTTGAAGTGTGATGAGCTAGGAAATACAGTTTTCAATAAATTGAGGATTTATATCACTATTTGGATAACATTTACAGAAGATTGACTAGTTTCGTGAGGAAATCATGGGAGTTCTGGTGAGAATCCATGACCAGTGGAGTTCAACCGTGTCAGAAACTTATTTACTCATTAACGAAATTTCCAGTTAGTTCTGTCTACATACTATTTTAGTTATAAGTTCTATACTACTCCTAAGTAGTTCAAAAAACTATTCAGTTGTATGATGAAATGAAATTTGTGCTGACTTCTGTTAGTAAACAGTTAAAACGTAAAATTATTAGAAATCATCCTGTTAACATCCAAAAAAGTTAGTTTCAATTTTGATGACATTCTGAAATAGATTACTTAACTATACATAATAGATGAAAATACAAATTGATAATAAGAATATTCATAAATTGCTTTGATTGGTTTAAGATTTTCATTTAAATATTCATGTATATTAGAGTAAGGCTTGATGATAATCTAATTGGAAATAATAGTGTTGTTGTTTTTTTAATATTCGCAATGGGAATATTTAAACTTGTTCTAGCATAAAATAAGTAATTCCGAAGTATTACATTACCTGGTTGGGGTCCGTGACTCGATAGTCACCGATGGTTAGAGACTTTGAATGATGTGGCTTGAAATTGTTTGCAATGGCTCAGCTGCATCCATTCTTTTTCTTCTCTCAAATCCTAACCTTCTGAACTCCTCATGACCTTTATTATCTTTTTTAAAATTTATTTCAGTGAGATAAACTTCTTGAATCATATAGTTGATTCATAATCTTTTCCACCTCTATTAGTATGGGATCTCAGTTGATAATTTCGTCTCTGTGCTAATACGGTTTGGCAACTTGAATTGGTGTAAGTACGCTCGAAGTTCTACGTTGTAGCTGACGGATCGATTGATGTTTTACAACTTATTTACAACAAACACCAATTTATGATAAATACCAATTAGTACTCAACCTGTACCTGTGACGTTTTATCGATTCTTATTGTTTATTATTCAACACTTAAACATTTGTACAACTAACAAAAGTATACTATTGAACCATTTAAAAATTAATTAAATAATTTTTCTAATGATACCTTCTTTGTTTAAATAAACAATAAACTTTGAAAACATTTTGACTCAGAGTTAAAAGTACATTTAGTTGATGAGTTTCAACAAATAGAAAATATTTCTCTTTCGAGTCGATTGACATATATAATACGTCTTGTATAGTTGTGGAATTGTTTTTCCCCTCTTCACATACTCTGACGGATTATATACTACATATATACCTAGCATAACGTCAATATATTTACAATTGTTGTTAAAATAGAACCATATTTAAGGCAAATAAATAATCAATATGTATTTAATGGCAAATAGAAAAACAAACAAACACACAAATCCCCTTTTCATTATGGAAAGTCAATATCAGTTCACTGAAGCGTAGTCAATAAATATTGATTCATATAAGTGTATGCAATCAATTGACATTTTTCCTAAAATAGGTGTTGTTTTATTAACTTGTGTATTTTGTCAAGTCGCTTCGGATTATTTTGAACTGCAAGGTGTGCAGGTGAAAAGTTTGAATTGTAGTTTTTGAGCACTTTCTTTTCTGTTTTTATTGCAAAAATGATTCAATGTAATGTGTAAGTTATCAGACTTTAATAATGTCTGTAATTTGAACAGAGAATGGTGGGGAAATTGTAGGCTGATTGTATAAAATATATATGTAGTAAGATGACAGATGGTAATCTGTAATGCAATGCAGCTAAACTACAATTGGTTTTCTTCACACGTCTGATGGTCAGCCCGGGATTGAAAGATAAATTACTTAGACTAGTCACCTTTGTCTGTATAACTGCTCCGCTGGAGCAAGTTATATCTCATATGTTTTAAGAATTTTTTTCTCGTGCTTGCAAAAGCACCTTCCAGAGTACTTAAACAACTTACTTACTGGCGCCTGTTACACCCAACGGAGCATAGGCCGTTGACCGGCATTCTCCAACCTACTCTGTCCTAGACCTTCCTTTCTAGTTTTTATTCCTTCTTCTCATATCTGTCTCCATTTTTCGGCGTAACGTTTTTCTTGGCCTTCCTCTTTTCCTATGACCTTGAGGGTTCCAAGTGAAAGCTTGTCTTGTGACTCAGTTGGGTGCTTTCCTTAATGTGTGTCCTATCCACTTCCAGCACTTCTTCCTGATATCTTCCTCCACTGGAACCTGTTTTGTTCTCGCACATAGTAGATTGTTGCTAATGCTGTTTTTTGGATAGACAACTGTTAATAAATACTTGTATCTTCTGGATAATGGCTTTGGTAGCTTTGCCAGTTTTCGCCCCATACAGTAGAACTATCTTAACGTTTGTGTTAAAAATCCTAACCTTGGTGTTTGTTGATAGTTGTTTTGAGTTCCAGATATTTTTCAGTTGTAGAAATGCAGCCCTTGCTTTTTCACTCTACGCCTTCACATCTGAATTCAACCAACCGTGCTAATCAGTTTTGTAAAAGTATATCTTCCAAAGCTTCAACGTCTAGAGTGAGTTGGTTTGTGCACATGGTGTTTTATCGGAGAATTTCGCATTTTCCTTCGTGTATGTTGAGATCTGTTGCTATTGACGCTGCTGCTACACTGGTCGTCTTCTCTCGCGTTCGTTGTCTTGTAAGCGATAGAGGAGCCAGATCGTCTAGCTGCATCCTGGCTATCCACTGTATCCCGTTCTTCACCTCAGATATTGATACCTTCAGAATCCAGTCGATCACTAGGAGAAAGAGAAAGGGTGAGAGTAAGCAACCTTGCCTGACACATCGAACGAGTCTGTCGCCTGTCCTCCGAACACGACTTTGCAGGTTAATCCAACATAAGAATTGAGTATGATATTGACTATCTTCTCATGCACACCGTAGGGTCGAAGAAGACTCCATAGTGTTGCCCTGTGCACACTGTCGAATGCTTTCTCGTAGTCAATAAAGCTGATGTAGAGTGATGAGTTCCATTCAATTGATTGTTCTACAATGACCCGTAATGTTTCAATTTGGTCGGTACACGATCGATCCTTACGAAATCCAGCCTGTTGATCTCGAAGTTGGGCGCCTTTGGAGTCCTCCATTCTGTTTAACTACACGTTGTTGAAGACTTTGCCTGATACTGAAAGAAGAGTGATACCCCAGTAGTTGTCACACTTGATGATATTTCTTTTCTTTGGTATTTTGATGAGGTGTCCTTCTTTCCAGTCTGTTGGTACTTGTTCTTCATCTCAAATCTTTTTAAAAAGAATGCATAATATTTTTGCAGTTGTTGCCACTTCTGTTTTCATTGCCTCTGCTGGAATGTAATCTGGTCCCGCTGCTGCTTTGCCGCTCTTGATTTGTCTGATGGCCATACTGATCGTTTCAATAGTTTGTGGGCCAACATGGATTGGGAGATCTGTTTGTGCTACTTCGATGTTGGGTGAGTTTGTTGGGGATGGTAGGTTCAAGAGTACCCACATGTTTCGCTGCTCTTCAGTGTTGGTGATTGCTTTGTCTTCATTGATTTTCCACGGTCCTTTTGGTTTAGGATATTTTCCAGCAAGCTTCTTTTTTGTATCACACAAATGTTTCGTGTTTCCTTTTCTTGCATCCTTGATCCCTTTTCAGCTGTTCTCCATCGTGGTTTCCTCTCTAGTCAGTAGATCGTGAAAGGCCTGGAACTTATTGGCGACGACTATCCTAAATTCGTCCAGTTTCGCAGTATCCCGAAGAAACGATGTCTCCTATTAGTGCCTTTTGTGCTTGTTTGGACTGCATCAATGCAACAACTTGTGTGTCATTTTCTTCTTCATGACCAGAGTATAACAGCAGTCCCCCTGAAGTTGGTCTCAGTTGTGCTGCCTACGTCCAATGCATTTCACTGATTCCAAGCACCTCCAGGTTGTATCGTTTCATTTTTGCAACCTCTTGAAACAGTCTTCAGGTCTTCCACATTGTTTGAAAATTCGATGTACCTAAAAGAATGGTTTATTTGGTTGTGATAAGGGGCATGGATCTCGTGACTTCCGAAGGAACTCGGCTTTCATCTTGGGACGTCATAACCGCTCCTTTTACTTTGGCCAATAATGTGGTTAATTTTCAGTTAGAATTATAGAGATCAGTGTTTTATACACATTGTGGATACACACTGCTGATGATTCCCATACCAGAACGGAACGGCCCTCCAGTGCTTCCAGGTTTCTTATAATAGTCTAACAATGACTGATTGATGATTTCAGTGTGTAAAATGTGATTAATGTTTACAAAATCTCCTTCTCTCCATTTTCATAGCTTAAGCTTAACCTATTCAAAAATCTTATCATTATTTTTGATATTGTTGATATTATCATCATAAAGCCAGCAACGTTTCAGGTAGTTAATTCAGAATTCAACCCTGTTCACTTATTCGTACCTTATTCATGTTATTCTACATACTACGTGATTTCAGAATTTCGATTATATAATTATTTCTCTTACCCCATGTTAACTGTATTTATTCAGTGATCAGTGAAGTCACGATTTCATTTGACGTATAAGCTTATTCAAGCTAACAATGAGTATTTGTCATTCCAACATTAACTTTCTATATTACAAACAATTCCGTATTAACATACTATAATTTTAAACAATATATTTTGCCTTGAAACGTGGCCACTGTTTTGATTATAAATTAGGATCTATAACTGTAGAAGCTGATGAGAATTTATCAAACAGAACATCATCCGTTCATATACTTATGTTGTAATGTAAGTGTTACGAAAGTTAGTCTCCTCAAATAGAAATGATAATGTATCTGATTGTATATAAGATGTTCCTAATTTAAAAATAATGAACTTAAAACAATGAATCGATCATTGTTAGATCACCATTCGGGAGAAACCTGAAAGCACTGGACGGCCGTTTCGTCCTAGTGTGGGACTCAGTCAACAGTGTGCATCCACGAACCCCGCTCGCGGTAGTCAGACCTAAGACCTTCGGGCTCGTGCGCAAATGCTTAACCTCTGGACCCCTGAACCGGCATTCATCGATAATGTTGTCTAACAAAAACACTATCCGGTGCTTCCAGGTTTCTGACGGTGGTCTAACAATGATCAATTCATTATCTCAATACGATTATTGTTGTAAACCAATAGTGGCTGAAGGCCATTAGAATCAATATAGATAAAGAACAATATTTATATCAAAAACCTTTAAACAATTTCTTTTCACTCACGATAATATTTTTAGAGAAAAGGTCCGATTAAACTGACAGGAATTATTCAACAGAACGATAGCTACAATCGAGTTAAAGTTGTCGATAATTTTATGGTCATCATGGTTGTCAGTTTTGAGTTTTGACACATAAAATTGTAGCCCTTCTCGTATGATGCCTCGAATCCCTATTTAATTTTTACTATTCCTCATAGAACTAAATTTACTGTTTCATTATCAGTATAAAAAGCTTGAAATTTTCCATTCAAACAAATAACAGTAGTTATTATGCTTGATCTATTCACTAAGTATACGAACTAAGCCACTATGTTCGTTAATTAACGGATATTACAAAATGAGTCACTTGTTGTGCTGTACTTAAAAGCAAACCACCATTGTGAATGAATGTGAATGAATGCATTCTAGTGAATGTCTAAGTAGTAAGAGCTAAACACATTACATAAACTAACCATCTAATGTCATTTTCCTTATCAGTTTTACTAATATTTGACAATGTTGTTTAGGCCAATGACCTGATTGACTATTTAATTCAATCAACTTTGAGTTGAATTGTTGACAATCTTGATTTGTTTCATATGATTCTTGTATTGTATTATTATAAACTAGATGATCTTGTAAAAGATTGGTAGCAGTTGTAGTAGAAGTGGTAGAAGTATTCGCTGGTATTTGTATTTCTGAATTACAATACTCATATTCATACGTATTATCCATTTTTTCAAGTTGAGATTGGAACAAGAATGATTCTTCAAATTGATCATTTAAACAAGGTGGTGAATAATCATCGTCTATTTGTAAATCTTTGAAATGATTAAAAGAAAATCAGGAAAAAAAACATGAGCAAGCTGATTTGCACCATCTCAATCACAAATGATAAGATCAAATGGGAAATATGACATAATGAACAAAAACAGATTGTTTAAACAATGAAGTTGTATAAAGTGAATAGATTGTAGTCAGCAATAAGATGCAGAATATTCGTTTCATCTTATTTAGTTAGAACTTGTCAATTAAATGAACAGCTCCCATTGTGACTCTATATAAACACGTACATATATGACAACAAAGACTAAAGAATATCAAAATACCGGGATAATTAAAACGCTTTCTTATGATAACATAAATAATTCATTTTCCATATTTGTTGTTTCGTAGTTAGATACTGAAAAACTTGAACAACCATATAAATAGTATAACATAATTTATTAAGAAAATCATCTCTTCATAATTAACCTAATGACATTTTGACGTAAGAAGATCAGATAACATTTGCGAAAATATTTTGACGTTTATCATTATGGTTCTCATCACTGTAAATTATGGAGGAACCGATAATGCGTTTCTTCCTAGTGTCAGATCCCTCAGCAATGCCTAGCTACTATACTACAAAAGATGTTTGGATTTCCGAAGTTCAATACATCATGGTCTTTGAAAGTGTTTCATTAAATATCGGTCTGTCACGAATTGTTTGAAATCATCATAAAATCGCCTAAAATGACTGTTGGTTGCATAAATGTATAATCTACTTCTGAATCGATTCCTTGGCATTGACATTTCACTAAAACAAAAGCAACTTTTCACTAGCTGAATTTAAATTAATATAGCCAAAATTTTCAACTATAAGCGATTAGAGTCGGTTCATGAATCTTCACTCTCATCGAAAAGGGTAAAAACTGTAAGTAAAGACTAATTCAAAAATGAATAACACTTATCAGACTTTCATTGATATGGAATCGAAAATTGTAAATCTTTTTTTCATGTACGGTGGTTGTATGAAGCGTTGAAGACAATCTGTTTAACAACTATTAGGCTGATAGAATACATTTTCCTGCTTTAGATTTATTTAAAATAAATTGTATTGCTCAATGTATAGATGTGTAGTTCAGTTTGAAATGATTTGGACAATCCCATTGTCGATATTTGTAAGTGACATTTGACTAGTCTTGGTTGGCATATTTTTATTGTGTTAGGATTACCTCGATACAACCATTATGATACAAGTTGGTTCGGAACAGATATAGTGCTTTTGGCAGCGAAATCCTAGGCGCCCGTTCGCTCATATTCGAGACTTGAATGCTGGATACGACTGCATCCCAGAGTTGACATTCAATTCTGGACTTAACAGCTAAGTGGATAAGTTGTTTGCATCTGAAGCGAACAATGTTCTGTTCGAGTTCCAAAATAGTCATTCACATTGAGATACAATCATATCAAGGTGGCGAGTTCTAGATAAGAAGATACCCGCGTCCTAAATTTCACTGTTAGAAGTCCTACTGGAATTCATTTTCGGCCAGATTATGAAGCTGAATGATTTGAGATTGGGTTCGCTGGGAAACACTAGTTCTCTCGAGAACTGGTATGCCTTTCTGATTATTCTTAAGTGGCATAAACCTAGGCAAAGAATTGTTTAACCAATTAGGTCAAATCATCTACCATGCATTTGTAAATACGAATTACCGATAGTAGAGCTCATACATGCTTTACAGTTGAACGTTTCTGCATCAAATAACATGTACCCATGATTCGCAAGGTAGTGCTTAAACAAATAAGTTTATTAAAAAAATGTTATATAAATTATAAACCTGAATCCCCTTGATCCATTTGCAAATGATATGATTAACCAATAATGCTGAGGCTTTAAAAGACTGTATAACATTTTATTTTTTTAACATCTGTTTGTAAGTTATCATTAATTCTTTACAATAAAATCGTAAATCACTCATCGTTAGACGAGCATCAGAAACCTGGCAGCACTGGAAGGCCGTTTCGTCCTGGTATGGGACTCATCAGCAGTGCGCATCCACGACTCCCGCTGCTGGCAGGAATCGAACCCAGGAACTTCGGTCTTGCGCGCTTACCTCATTAATTTGTCAAACTTAATTCTACAGATAACTAGGATTTCTTAATTCAGAGGAATTCTTAAACTATTAAAAAACAACAAAATCTCATCAAAAAAAACATATTCCTCTCAAATCAACTATATATTTCAGCGTAAAAGTCATAAACAAAACGAACAGAACACTATAAGCTATTTCACTTCATCATAACTTACATTTCATCATTTCATTAATTGTCTTTGGAATAGTAGTCAGTTTATAAAATTTGGCAAAAGATTTTCTGATATCAATAAATTGATAGAAATACGAATAATTTGTCATATCGATTGATTTGGTTGTAGTTTCTGGATGAAGTGCCAATCGTAAACCGTACGGTCCATCGACTAGCAGCATAAAACTCAACGGATTTTGATCACAGTCCATTTTCTCTGCACCACAATTATTATGATTATCATGATTATTATTATTATTATTTTCACTGTCAATGGCAGTTGTAGAAGTTGAACATTCAAATGGAGAAGAACGTTGGTGTTGATCATATGTTGTAGTATGATCAGTTTGGAAACAATATAGATTGTTATCATGAATCCATTGGTGAAACTATAAGAGATTGTGATAACGCATAACCAATTTTTGTTTGATGAGCAGGTAAGCTTGTACGAGAAAATTAAGTTTAAACATACTTTCAATCATATGGACACAACTTAAAATCAGTGATTACCTGAAAACTATTTCTGCGTCTTGCTTTGACACATTTTAAACAACTTCAAGAAGCTTTTAAGATGTGTGATCAGGTTCTGAGTTCAAATTGTTGAAAAGTGTCAGATTAAAATGAAACAGCTCTTTAACACTTTCTAGTTTCCTATGGTTTTTCTGTTGAACTATGTTAGTAATGATAACTCTTTTTGTGCTTTTATTGTTATGTAACTTTAAAATCATATCATGAACGTGAATAGCAAGTTTTCTTGTTCCCTAAGTTGAAAGTTACCAATGTTGATTGCTTTTAACGTAAATTACTCAATACATCAGTACTGATAATCAGGATTGAGATTTAAGTAACGTTAATCTCACAAAGCTGATACTTGAAAATAAGATCAGTTAACTTCTAAAAATTAATATTCAGCTAAAAACTTGAAACAACATGTTAACTAAGTGCTTTAATTTGTGATAATTTGATTACAGTATGATATAAGTATGATACATGGAAATGGACAGGGAAATTTATTTCATCGCACACTGAATTATTTGTCCACACTGGAGTCCAGTCGTGAGCCGCTAAAGATTTTCTTATGAGATAAAAGTGGTTTATGTATTTATATTTAAGGAACAGTTTACAAATTTCTATTTCTATAACTATTATGATAACGATATTTGGTTGACTATTCACAAGATTCCTGTTAAAAGTCAAAGTCTTTATTCAGTGAGTCGAGTTAATCGAATACAAAACTATAATACTAATACCCTCCACTTTTAAACAAGATTTTGTTATAGGAAAAAAGCAAGAAGATACTTTCAAAGATTAACAGAGGTTTATCTGACTTATAGTAATCATTCAACAATTTTGGATAACAGCAACGACTATAATTGAGAATCTGATTACACTAAAACAATTTATTCTCATAAAATATGTCTTTGAAAGGTTCTTTGTCCTAGAAATTTTTCTTCAGGACATACATTGCAGAAATTTCACATCTGCATCACGACGCAAGCCCTCACTTAGAACCATTAAGGCTAAAGGAAAAGAGGTAAACCACGTGACAAACTGCCTCAAGAATTGGAGACAGACATAAAAAGAATGAATAACCATTTGGTGGAGCTTGAAAGGACGGTCCTCAACAGAGCAGGTTGTAAAATGCTGCTTGGCGATCTATGCTTCATCTTGAGTAACATAAGTAAGTAAGAAGGAAAATAGTGACTATTGTTTCCTCCTCTCAAACTTACATTTTTTAAAGCTGTTTCAAGCAGTGGAGCTTCTGTTAGAATTTCACTGTTAACTGATGTCACTTTGATGCATTCTTCAATTGGTTCAATCATTTTCATATTGGAATTTTCATCAATAACATTTGGCTGCATTGTCACATCTGTTATGGTATTGTTATCATGATTATTTTGTGCAGGAATTTCATCATTTTCTAATTTTATATTGGATTGTTTAATTTTCGAAAGGTTAGACTCTTTCAAATCATGATAGTTTATTTGACATGGTTTAATGAATTGTTGAAATTCCGCACCATCTTGCTGAAAGTCAATAAAAACAAAACATTTTTTCTATTGACAATTATCTGTGTGGATTGTTTTATAAAAATACATATAATATACAAATAGTTTTGCCTACTAAAATGGTATTCATCAATCACAGAATAAAGTTATGTAATTATGGAAAGAACTTTGTTTACATTATGTATATTCCAAAACTATTGAATTATTCTATAAGTATATCAGATAGTCAGTATGCAATAAGCATCGATGAACCACAAGAAAAATTTATATTATTCCAATTTGTTCTAATTTATGTGAGTACTGCTTGAGAAATCCAATGAGATGAGAAAAACATAAATGATAATGAGAAAAGTAAACATTAGAACAAACTCGTAAGTAAAGCATTATGAGATGAACTACGATTTAAAAGGAAAATTCGGAAGTACTAGAAGTATTATTATATCTGTTACATGCAAGATCTTCATCCACAGAATATAGTCCTCTAATTAACTCCAATCATTAAGTACGTTCTTCCTAGTTTAAATACCAGCTAATATTTAAACTATGATATGGTTCTTCTATCGCACACGCAACAACAAATGCAAGAGAAGACGATCAGTGTAGTGGCTGCCTCAGCAGCTGTAGGTCTCAACATACACAAAGTGGAAAGTAAGATTCTCCGATACAACACAACGTTCACCAACCAAATCACTTTTGATAAAGATGCTTTGAAGGACGTAAAAACCTTTACACATCTAAGCAGCCTAATTGACGAGCAAGGTGGATCGGAAGGCGCGAATCGGTAAAGCAAAGGCTACATCTGGAACTCATAACAACTATCAAAAAACACCAAAATCAGGATTTTTAATACAGATGTCAAGACACTTCTATTGTATGTAGTAGGGGAAACTTATAGAACTACCCAAGCCATCATCCAGAAGATTCAAGTGTTCATTATTAGTTGTCTATGTAAAACACTTTAGACAGACACTATGAACAACAATCTACTGTCGGAGAGAAAAACTAGATTCCAGTGGAGGGGGAAATCAGGAAGAAGTGCTGAAAGTGGATAGGACACACATTGATCAAAGCACCCACCTGCGGCACTAGACAAGCCCTCACTTTCAATCCATAAGGTCAAAGGAAAAGAGGAAGGTCAAGGAACACAATACACCGAGAAATAGAGACAGACATGAGAAGAATGAGTATCAGTAGGATAGAATTAGAAAGGAAGGCCCAGGACAGAGTGGGTTGGAGAATGCTGATGGTCAGCCTATGCACCGTTGGGGGTGACAGGCGTAAGTAAGTAAGTCGGTAAGTTCTCTGTTCTAAATACGCTCATTTTTACTGCTGTACACAGTCTGTCGGCAAATATCTTCGGAATCGAAACAAACTGACTTATATTTACATCTTATCAGGTAATCTAAGCTATCTGACCTCATTGTCTATTAAAGGTACTTTTCGAATTCTGGACTAAAATAAAACATTTTCTGCTAATTGATAAGATTAATCAATTCGGTAGCCAATCAACAGTTGATAACTGATTACCAGTACTATAGTTTCATTTAAGAATAGTTAACTAAAAATAAAATTATCCTTTTTTGCATCAAAAATCAACATCAAACATTTCTTAATTCAATCTTACTTACATCACTTTGTTGTAAGTTATAGATTTTCGCAGTCAGCAACATTATGGGATATTCATCCGAACCGGTTTCATCATACTGTCGACCAGATGTACAAATATTTAAGATTACTAAACAGTTTGGTTCATTCACTTTATAATCAATCGATTGTGATGAGTTGGAAGGAAGAAGCGATGTTGATAAACATTTGGTAAAAGCAGTAGAATTTGGCAATGATGATGATGATGATGATGATGGTGAGGAGGAGGAGGACGATGCTGACGGTGTCATTGTTGATGAGAGTGTACAAAATGAATAACCAGTTGTTGTTGGTTGAAAATTATTTGACAGTTGACTGTCAAATAATTGTGGATAATAATCGGTTGACGATGCATCAGTACTCCTCGGTGAATCTTGATATTCCTGTTTAGGCTTTTTAACTTGACATGATGAGTAGTTATTGAACATGGATTGATCATTGGTATTTGTCAGTTCCATGTGTGTTCCTTACTCAGAGAAATGGTTATTTCAGTAAAGACTGACAAAAATTTGACCTAGGGTTTTTAATTGTCCTAACGAATAACAATTATAAACTAATATGAACAATTATATATATATATATATATATATATATATATATATATATATATATATATATATGTACATAAATTTGAAGTGCTCACAATAGTGTCTATACATGCCTGTTTATTTTGTTATTGTGCTCATAGGAACATGTATAATTGTGTCGATTTTTAATTGAAATTATTGGGCTAATTTCGCCAATGAATACCTTATACTTTAAATTACTAATATATGAAGAACGGAAGTGAACAGTTAATTATTGTTAGCTGATTTTTACTTCTTCCCTAATTAGGACAAAAAAGCAACAACAACAGCAACAACATGAACACATGCAGTAGCCATTGAAATGGCACACATGTACACATACACACACACACACAATAATTTGCTTATTCAAAACTCGTAGGTTAACAGTATATTCAAATAATTTGTTTTTAATATGTGCCCCAAATGTATGTACAATATAGTTGAGTAGTTCTGTTCTTCCAACAGACAATAATACTTATGTGTGTACGTTAATACACATATATATTAGACTGGGGCATTGAGTGTGAATTGGCTACTGTTACAATGTGCTATGTTGAATGTATATGAGGAATCGATTTATATAAGGATTAACAGTCTAAGTATTAGTTTCATAGATTAGAGATTGGTGTGTAATAAGCAGTAAAATGTATTCAGTGTATACTATGAACAGTGGTTATGAAAAGCTCAATAACTAAACCTAGAGTATGAATGATCTTTATTAAATTTTGTTTTATACATAAGACAAATCTTTACGATTATACAAGTCGTTGTAAGTTTAATCAATATTATTCAGAAATTTATTGTACCGATTACAGAGAGAGAGTATTTTTTGAATTAATTTAACCATTGAACATTGAAAATAAACATCAGTTCAAGTTAGGTTTTATTGGACATCTTGAAATCAGCTCAATGAACATTGGGAAAAAATGTAAATTGCTTGATGGTTACGGATTTTTTCTAAGTGCACACATACTACTTTTTAACTTTCAAAGAATACTGATCAGTTGGTGGTTCGAAATCACAGACTTGTGTTAAACTTCCATTTGTTTCATTTTAAAACTAGTATGTAGTGAAAGAAGGTTTATCATGTTACATTATGCCACGAAATTTTCCTATTGCATTTCATTATTTGAGATGGTATTATCTACAGAAGTAGTCATGTATATAGTCATCTATAACTATCAAAGAAACCAACTGCATTAAGCAAGTTCTAAGTGATCCCTTAGAAGAGTCATCACCATATATCTGTGAGCAGCATGATCACACAGCATGGAACCCCTCCTCATGATACTGCCGATCCAAAGCCCGGATTAAGGAGGAGTGTTGGGATTGGGGTTGGCGACCCCATTCAGCAAAAAAATGACTCGCTAAATAACGCTAACCAGGAAACGTAATCCAAACCACTTTTACTATTCCCTGGGTCTTCTTACAAAAGAATTATGACTTTTCATGATGAAAACCGAGTTCCCTCGGAAATCATGTGGCCGATGCCCCTTCTGAGAACCACAGCAACCATTCTTTTAGGTACATGGAACGTTCGTACATTGTGGGAGACTGGAAGACTATTTCAAGTTGCTGCAGAAATGAAACGATACAACCTCGAGGTGCTTGGAATCAGTGAAACGCATTGGACACATGTAGGAAAACTGAGACAAGCTTCAGTGGAACTGCTGTTATACTCTGGTTATGAAGAAGAAAATTACTCACGCACACAAGGAGTTGCACTGATGCTGTCCAAACATGCAAAAAAGGCACTGATAGGATGGGAATCTCGTGGACCCATGATCATTAAAGCATCCTTCAAAACAAAGAAAGAGGACATTACAATAAACGTCATCCAATGTTATGCACCTACCAATGACTACAATGACGACGTTAAAGATAACTTCTACGAAAGACTGCAGTCAATCGTCGACAGATGCTCACCAAAGGATTTAATCATTCTGATGGGAGACCTAAATGCCAAGGTTGGTATGGACAACACTGGATATGGAGACATCATGGGACGACATGGACTCGGAGAAAGAAACGAAATGGGTGAGAGATTTGCAAACCTATGTTCCTTCAACAAACAACCTATGTTCCTTCATAGGCGGCACACTATTACCACACAAACGCATACACAAAGCCAAATGGATTTCACCCGATAACACTACTCAGAACCGAATCGACCATATCTGTATCAATAAAAAGTTCAGAAGGACCATGGAGAATGTGAGAACGAAGAGTGGAGCTGATATAGCTTCAGATCATCACTTGTTGATCGCCAAAATGAAGCAGAAACTCGGGAAGCACTGGACAGCGGGATAGATAACATCACAAAATTTTAAAACGGCCTTTCTTCGGGATACTGGAAAACTCAACGAATTCGAGATAGCCCACAGTAATAGGTTCCAGGCTTTTCAAGATCTACTCCCATGGTGAACAATTGGAAAGAGACCAGAGAGGCAGTCACTTTAACATGTCTGGAGGTTCAGGGCCATAAGAATCTCTATTGATACTCTTGAAAAAGTCAAGAAAGGAGGAACAGAAATCAACATCGGCGGAAAAAGAGAAGAGGAAGCCAAGACACAAGATGAATACACAGAAGGAAACAAGATAGTGAAGCGGGGCTTTAGAGCCGACAAAAGTATATATGTAGAAGATCTAGCAATGACGGCGGAAAAGGCTGCAAGGGAAGGAAACTTGAAACGGTTGTAGGATGCAACAAAGAAGCTCTCTGGAAACTATCGTAAACCAGAACGACCAGTGAAAAGCAAGAAAGGCAAAGCAATCTGCAATATTGAAGAACAGAAAAATAGGTTGGTAGGGCAATTTAAAGAACTCTTGAATCGACCAGCTCCTGTGAACTAACACTATCAAAGCAGCACGATAAAACCTTCGAATCGATGTAGACCCACCAACAATCAAAGGGATTAGCGTGGCCATCAGACAACTCAACTGTGGCAAATCAGCAGCGGGACCAGATTACATTCCAGCAGAGGCAGTGAAAGCAGAAGTGGCAGCTACTGAGAAATACTCCACATTCACTTCAACAAGATTTGGGATGAAGAACAAGTACTAGAAGACTGGAAAGAAGGATACCTCATCAAAATATAAAAGCAAGGCGATCTCACCAAGCATGACAAATACTGAGGCATCACTCTTCTCTCAGTATCAGGCAAAGTCTTCAACAGAGTGTTGTTAAACAGAATGGAGGACTCCAAAGACGCCCAACTTCGAGATCAACAGGCTAAATTTCGTAAGGATCGATCGTGTACCGACCAAATTGAAACATTACGGGTCATTGTAGAACAATCAATTGAATGGAACTCACCACTCTACATCAACTTCATTGACTACGGGAAAGCATTTGATAGTATGAACAGGACAACACTATGGAGTATTCTTCGACACTACGATGTGCCTGAGAAGATAGTCAAAATCATACTAAATTCTTATGATGGATTAAACTGCGAAGGACAGCTTACATACTCGTTCGAGGTGAAGACCGGTGACAGGCAAGGTTGCTTACTCTCACCCTTTTTCTTTCTCCTGATGGTTGACTGGATTATGAAGGCGTCCATATATGAAGGGAATCACAGTATACAGTTGACGGCCAGGATGCAGCTAGACGATCTGGCTCTTCTGCCACACACGCGACAACGAACGCGAGAGAAGACGACCAGTGTAACAGCAGCGTCAGCAGCAACAGGTCTGAACATACACAAAAAGGAAAAGCAAGACTCTCCGATATAACACATCATGCATCAGCCAAATCACTATTGATGGGGATGCCTTGGAGGACGTAAAAGCCTCTACTTAACTTAGCCGCATAATTGATGAGCAAGGTGGATCCAAAGTGGGTGTGATGGCGTGCATTAGTAAAGAAAGGGCTGTATTTCTACTACTGAACAACATCTGGAACTCAAAACAACTGTCAACAAACACCAACATCAGGATTTTTAACACAAATGTGAAGACAGTTCCACTGTATGGGGCAGAAACTTGGAGAACTACGAAAGCCATCATCCACAAGTTACACATCTTTATTAACTGTTGTCTATGTAAAATACTTCGGATTCTTTGGCCATAAATTATGAGAAACAACCTCCTGTGGGAGAGAACGAACCAGATTCCAGTGGAGGGGGAAATCATGAAGAAGCGGTGGAAGTGGATAGGACCCATTTAGGAAAGCACTCAACTGCGTCACAAGACAAGCTTTGACTTGGAAGGCCAAGAAACACACTGCTCCGAAAAATAGAGACAGACATGAGAAGAATGAATAAACGTTGGATAGAACTAGAAAGGGACATTGTAGGTTGAAGAACACTGGTCTGCGGTCAATACTCCATCGGAGGTATTAGGCGTAAGTAAAGAGTGAGTAAGTGAAGCATGATTATACAAAGTGAATTAACTGAACACTTTAGATCTATTCACTTGTGAGTTTTATTATCATGTTTAGGTTTGTTGATATAAATAAACCTTGAGTGGTATTCATTAATATGAGCCACTTGTAAAGCAACTGAACCGTCTGTCTATCAAAACTCTAATATTTTACAACTGTGACGTGTAGCAACAGAAATACATAGGTCAATCCGTATACATCTTTGAAGCTTTTCTGTTGTAAAGTAGATCAACCGAGTTAGACATGTCTATGTTAAGAGCCAGTTTATAAGTAGTAATGTTGTTTTATGAATGAAGAAATAAACATTAAACGACTTTAGTGGTTGGAAAAAGTTTGTATATATCCAACTCAGTTGGACAACAAATTTTCAAATATGGCCAAAGAAAGATATACTGTAGGCTTATGAAAGCTTTAATTATTGGTTTGAACAGATCTTTGAGATTGAAATTAGCCCTCCTAGAATATGTACAATCTAAGGTTGAAAACTTTAAATTACACCAAA